AAACAAACCCCATTGATGAGAAGGAACATAAACTTAGCGAGCTTCGATGAATAGATATACATTTTTTTAATTCTTTTATATAAAGAGAGTCGATCGGACATAAAGCATTTAAATTATACTTAGCCCATATACGTGAATCCGTTAATGAACCACATTTAAACTTATGCTTAACATTCGAATCACCCAATGTGTTGTCACAATAACGGTCACAACTATAACTTGGTAAAGTTGTTAAATAAAGCGCACGACCAAAATCTAGAGTTGATTCTCGAGGCAATATACATAAGCATTGGTTGCTATCACTGTTGAAAACTAAAAATAAATTTTCATATTTCTGTTTTCTTTTTAAGGTATATAGTTATTTTTCTCTAGGTTTTTATGCATGTTATAATTCACAATTAATAAACTAAAAATAAAGCGAACGTTTGTAATCATCTTTCGACATTGAATATTTTTTTCAATATAATAATAGAGTAAAGCTACTTCATGGAAGAGTGATTTCAAAGAAATCAGATATCAGGGATACTGTTAAAGATCGACCACTCCCTATTTCACAGCTCAGATCGAATGAATGAAACAACAGTACCGAGAAATCGCACGATATTATAAGATCTGTTCTTATAGTTCATTTCTGTTAGATTCGCTGCCGAACAGTGTTGTTCTATCGCGAACATGGATGTAGTTTCCTCAAGAGCATCACAAACATTGTACCAATAGATCAAAGAACGCTTTCAACTGTTTCTCAGATATTCACTAGAATAAACATGTCAGCTTTTAAATACTAGAGATGATTCTCAAGAGTTGGATATTGTCTAACGTAGCCTTTTTAGTTCAAAAACTACTGCAGCGTGCACAATACAACGATATTTTAAAATGACGAATAGTTTGATTGTGAATTCAGCTGGATAATAGGAGAACAAATCGCAATCATGCTTTTATCGTTTCAAATAGTGATAAATATATTTTGAGACATTCTCTATCTCATGATATAAAAGTTTTTGTTATGAATCTCGAGTAGAAAAAAAAATAGCTGGAACTCCTAAATGAGTCAAGACACATTAATACCACTCATTAAAATATTCTTCGGATTTGAATGTATGGTTTTGGAGAAAAACGTAAATCAATTTTTTTCTGAACTACAGTAGTTGTCGAAAAACGTTTAGAAACGAACTATATGTGACTCACTACCTCTGTACCAGAGATGCACGGGGCATCGATTTTTCAAGCCCCGCGGGGCCCGCCCCGTGAAATTCACAAACCCGTCCCGCCCGAACCCCGTGTATAAGTTTTATGAAAATCCCCGCCCCGCCTGTGCCCCGAAAAATCCATACCCGCTCCGCCCGTACCCCGCACAGGCAGCTTCTTGGACCGGCCCGCCCGACTCGTCATTTTTGCGACGGGCCCCGCCCCGCCCCCGTGCAACCCGAAGAAATTTTTTATTTACTAAATACTTTTTAATCATACATTCCTTTTATAAACAGATATCTCATCACCATTCTAGCTAAGAGGCTGTTGGATATTTTTTTAAAAACTTTCATCCTCAACAACGCTGGTAGGACAGATACTTTGAAATATCAATACCCTTTCCCTTCGCAAACTTATATACTTGACTCAGGCTAAATTCGATTGTCGCAAAATTAACCATACATAGATGAGATCCTTCATGCTTAAACTTGCACAAAGTATTAAATAAAAATGTTTCGAAGTTGAGAAGAAAATAAAATTTTACTATTGGAACTTTAGACACATTCGAATTACTTCATTTCCGGTGCTGTTCATATAATCTTAAATTGAGCTATAAAATTTTATAACGAAGTCAGGCTAAACTTGCATGAATTACTGGAGAAATCGCTGCTCCATTGTACTGTATACTAATGGAAAAGATAGATATAGCTAAAGGATTAAAATTAACTGGACCAAGGCAAATAATTGAAAACGTATCCGAAACATTTGTAAACGCTCATGAAATTTGCAGTCAATTTGAAAATTAAAATGATAAAAGATACTCTATCAAACTATTTCAAAACAAAATATATTTATTTGTCCAATATGTTATAATTACTCGAAGAAAACATGTTGAAATTTGGCAAAAAATTTTTTGCCTGCTTCACGAAACTTACTCATTTTTTGACCGACACGTAAGACAGATCAAAGAAAAACTACCATTGGATGAAGTAATCAATGCTCTATCTGATCATATAATAATAAAAAAAGTTCCCGATGTTTTGTAGAAATACAATAACCTGAAGAAAATTGGTGAAAATTAGTGAATTATCTTGTATAGTTTCCCTGTATTTTGAAAAGTTTTCGTTTCGCGAATTACTTCGTTCCTTTAACGTTTCGATTTGCTGGCTTCTTTTCTTCAGTTCAGTTTTGAATTTGCAATAGAACTTCATTAATTATTGAGTGACTTCAACAATGAAAGATAATAAATGATATAGTTTTGTGCCTATTACTTCGGAATCGCGAGTTCCTATTCGAATGAATTGTACTCTTTCGAGTCAATCACTTTAATTCTGTTTCAAGAAGCTATCGTCTTCAGCGTTATGTTCTACTAAAACAATAAAGAATGTTTATTCATTCTACAATGATTTCATCGTTAAGAAATCTGAATTTTGATAAGAAAAAGAAGTTTTTACTGCGCAGTGTTTCTTAATAAATATAAAATAAGTTTTAGTCCAGTTATTCACTTAGTATAAATTAGTAGTGGAAACTGTGCATGACGGAGGAGAAAGAAAGAAAGACACAAATAACAGACAAGCTTGCACCTAATAGAATCAAATCAATAAACCAATTGATATGTACTTTGTACTATGCATATCTGTAGTAATAACACCTCTTCATAAACTTTGACGGTTCTTTATCACACCCGAAAAAAAATGTTTACCCGCCCGAACCCGTGTATTTCATACCCGCCCCGCCCGAACCCGTGTATTTCATACCCGCCCCGCCCGAGACCCGTATCATTTTAAAAATTTGCTCCCCGCCCCGCCCGCCCGTGGGCTGGCAAATACCCGCGCCCCGTTAACCCCGTATTTAATTAAAATTTGCTTCCCCGCCCGCCCGTCGCCACGTGGCCCCGCGGGGCCCGCGGGGTGAACCCCGTGGACCGTGCATCTCTGCTCTGTACTAATACCTAGAAGAAACAAAAGAGAAAACTTAGGTAGTTGAAGAAGTTTTCTATCAGAATAGGTATTTGTTAAATTGCTATATACAAGTATGAGTGAAAGGTCTCTGGAAAACGAAGACTCCTCGATTTAGTTTTCCGAATATATGAAAACATTTTTTAGAGTTTCGTCTAAATAGAAAACTTTTTTGAACATACTGAGACGTTTCTAAGATATTCACAGCCTATATACAATTAATTGCACTTATTCTACGAAAGACTCAAAGGAATAAAATACTGTAAATTCATAGGAATTGAAAAAAAATAACAGAAAACAACTTTTTCGGCATTTGGGTACATAATTGTTATTCGTCGATGATAGTTTGAGAACATAATATTTTGTGGAGAAATGTTATCCCTATTGAAGAAACTTGTTTCCAAACTGTTCTTGATAGAATCCAGACAACTGATTTTAGAAGTTTCGGCTTTCCAGAGACTTCTCACTGAAACTTCTTAATGGGAATTGGACAAATACTTATATTGGTGGAAAACTGTCCTTGCAGAATAAGTCCTTGGTCTTTTTGTTCTCGGCATTACCATTAAGGGAATAGGGCAAAAATAACTGTTTTGCAAACATTTTTTCAAACTGTGTCAGAATATTCTCGTATGCCCTCTATAACAACAATTGACATATTCGCCCCTAAATCTTACGGTAGGTTTTATAAGAACCATATTTTTTCCGATATAAAGCTTTTCTTTCAAAACCTAAAGTATCTCTATTGATAATTCAATGAAATATTTGAAACCACTGTGCGAAACTATATCAAATAACGTATGATACGAGTCCTATTCTAGCGAAAAAGTGATCTAAAACAAACTATAAATAAGTTACTTTCTCAAGTACTTCTTTTTGTCGAAAAACTTGGTTTTCTTGAAAGTGATTTTTTGTGCAATATGAATTTTCGCCGGGGTAAAAGAACGCTATTTCCGAGAATGAAACTTACCAGTCTTCTTTCAAACGAAAAATGCGCAAGGCATCACTCAGATATTCATACATTACTTAAGGTGCTCTATTAGCGATATGAAACGCAATTAACGCCTTGCGTCCTCAAAAATCGATCTAAGCCCAGGAACGTTCAAACGGCATAAAATTTTCAGGATATGTTGAGGCTAGAGTATGGAAGCTACAGTGAAATTTTCAGTCCGATATCATGAAGTCTGATGGAGATATTGACCAGAAAAGGTCAAAAATAGCACATTTAGCAACCCAAATTTCTAAGCTCTGATCCGTGTAATATATTTAATTTTTTTTTTGTTTGAAAGAATATGTCAGGATGCAGTGCAGTACAGGGTCCGTTTTTTAAAATCCTTACTTTTTATAGGAGAAAAGAATCGAAGGTTCAGTAGCTCAAAAACTCTCTAAAAATTGCACTATAATTTTATAAATGTTGCTACGTATAGTAAAAGCAAAGCTCAATCAAAAAAAGACTCTGTAATGCACCGCATTTTGACGTGATCTTTTACGCAAAAAAAAACCTTAAATATGTTGAATAAGTATTAACAGAGAAATCTGGATTGTACGATCAAGAAACTATAAATGGAGAAAAAACGAAAAAGATCTTCTGTTTTTTTCTGAAAACAGTTTATTGTTTTTTCGAATAGGAGATGACAGAAATCTTCAACAATTTTTGGAAAAAATGAGGTGTTGCTTAAAAATATTTGTTGTTTATGAAAGACCAGATCACGGGCTATCTTTCTGTGCATTTCTCTTAATTTCGACTATTCGGGCGAAAAGTGACTTTTTTTGAAAGGGTGAAGGCCTCAAAACACTAGAATAGATAGTAATGATGAAAAAAATTCGATTTCCTATGAATATGAGTAAACTATTCAATGATTATTTGTCGTTTACATGTTTTCTTCTACCTATTGATTTTGTCTTAGCATTTTGATCAAGACATGCAGCTGCACATCGTTCCAATATATTCAATGGAGATTTTACAGATGATTTATCTATTTCAACTTGTATCGTATCATAATAACCCGAAGCATTCCATAATTCACATGATATAAATTGAATTCGAAAGTTAAATAAATGAGCATGTTGAGTATAAAAGTTTTCTTCAGCATAAGCTGAATATGTTCCTTTGCCTCCACATGTATTAACTGTTTCAACTTGTTGATAGTCTGGCTTTCTGCATGGTATTGTACAATATTCATCTCTCTGTCGATTATGATCCATTAGACCACCACCTGAACATCGACAAATTTCGTCTTGTATATAAATAAATGGTGTTTCACATAAAACAAAACATAACGTTGGTTCCATATACGAACTTACGAAATAACTATTATAAAATACTTGTGTATAACAGCCAACATAATGGTATGAACCATAAACTGAATGTGCCAAAGAAATTATGGTGAAAAGAGAAATCACTCCTGGTTCAAAAATCATATGCTGGAATAATATAAGTAAATGATTGATGATAAAAGAAAAAGCAATTGAAAATGTTTGTTAGGTATAATACAAGAAAAAAGAACTATAAGATGCGGGTGTGGATGTGGGGAGGGTGAGTGAGAATATGAAATGATGTGGATGTCAAGATGGATCGTTGTAGACAATACTCACACCCACACCCACACCCGCACCCATATCCAAGAGTAAATAAATCAAGAAAACAAGGGTAAAGCTAATGTTCGGATTAAATTCCTCGAATAAAAAGCGCTAGATGTTCTAGGAAAACTAAATGAAGAAAAAAAAAAGTAAACAAACCTTTTAGGGTTTTCTTAATAGATGGCAGAGAATACGTGGAATAGCTAAATTAAGGGAAAAGAAGGAAAGCGTGTTTACGCATTCCATTGCTTTTGGAAAAATTTACAGATGAAAATAGCATAACTATTCGAAAAATGTTAACATTTTTGTATTAGAATTAAGAAAGTATTTTCATGCTTTTGTGTTAATGTTAAAAAATAATTTCATAGTTTGGCATTAGTAATGATTTAAAATTGGCATTATTTACCACATTGTTCGTGCGCATTGGTATTTATTAATGAATTTTTCATATAATAGTAATACCAAATGATTACAATACTTTTTTAACAGTAACAAAAACAAATTTTAAATTATTTTCTTGACTCTAATAAGAAAATATGAAAAATAGCATTAGTTCAGGCAATGCTAATGCTAAACAGTCACTCCTAAACAAATCTTTAGGCAATTATCGGGATGACTCAATGAAGAAAAGAAAAATGAAATTTCTGATTTGCTTTTAATTCTTTTATAAGAACCCACACAAATTGGAAGAGTAACTCAGTGAGGAAAAACAAATTAAAGTTAATGTTCAAATTAGATTTTCATTATAAAATACTGAAGAATCCTTTGGATAGCTAAACATAGAAGCAATACACGGAAACTAAATTAGCTCGCTCTATTTGTCTCAGAACATGCGAACATATTACGAAAATAATATATGGGTGAATCCGTGGGGTTTCTACCACTTTTGTGGAAAAAGTATTTTTTCGATTTTAATATTCTAGTTAGACGTAACGTCGTCGAAAACGGTTAGAGATAATAGTAAAAACTTTTTTTGATACATAAAGTTTGGAGATCCAGATCATTTCTTAGGAACAATTCAATGTATTTGTAATTGGATATGTTGAGGGTTTCAACTATGTTGCAAAATGATGAAACTTTCAACGTTTGTAGAGCTTTTAATTCTAATCATTTTGATAAAAAAAAATTCCGAAAAGCAGTCATTTTGTAGGAAATAGGTTCAAAAGACTATAAGTAGTGAAGGAAACTAAACACCAATTTGTCAAAATTTCGCAAAAATCTTTTGTTTTTGAAAGGTTTTGGTTTTTCACTGCTCACAGTGTTCTGAGTCTATTTCCGACACAATAAAAGCGGTTTGAAAATTCTTTTTATCAAAATGATTAGAATTAAAAGCTCTACAACCGTTGAAAATTTCATCATTTTGCAACGTAGTTGAAACCCTCAACATATCCAATTACAAATACATTGAGTTATTCCTAAAAAAATTATATGGATCTCCAAACTTAATGTACCAAAACTGTTTTTACTATTACCTCTAACCGTTTTCGACGACGTTACGACTAAGTAGAATATCAAAGTCGAAAATAAAATTTTTTTCCAAATTGTGGTAGAAATCCCACGGATTCACCAATATGGAAAAAAAACAAACTGAGCTCGTTTATTCGTTTTTTTGTAATAAAATCAACGTTCAATACACTTGTTTCTCGAAAAGGTTTTTATTTATATCTCCCCCACCTCCCAGGTGTTTTTCGGTTAAGGAAGAGGATGCACAGGCACGTCTTTCACCCTCGTTGGCTATGTCCTGGATCACGCAGAATAACTAGATGAAAGAAAAAATAGGGAGTGTGTTATCTCGTTCTATTGCTTATCGAAAAATCTTTATGCAACTATCAGAAGAGGCAGATGAATAAAAGGAAAGCAAACTAAAATAGATTTGTCTATTTCTTGCAAAATAAACTGGAATGTATGAAATAATTTGAAAAAAAATAAGCTCAAATTAGTTATCCAGTTTGCCTCAGAAAATATGCACTGTAGTAAGGATAACTGAGAGAGACAAAAGAAAACTGAACTAAAAGAGTTATTATATGTCACTGAAGAAAACGTTTAAGATGGATAAGATATGTAAACGCAAAAGTAAGAAATCAAGCTTTGATTTTTTTTCGGTTTTTGTTTTTCGATTCTGAACAACTAAGAGGCTGTATTTGAATTACGTGATGAGGAAGGGATCGAAGGATCTGATAGTTATAGCATTCGATCGTAGATGAAGAGGAGCCAGTAAGACGATTGATGAAATAATGAACCCTAGTGCATATTGAGTCTGATGAATTTGTTCGTTAAATTAGAGAAATGAGTCACATTTATCTGCCAGAAGAAGCTGCACTGTACTTGGAGTTATGCCGTTTTTATGGAAAATCTAAGTAAGGATGATTTCATCGCCTCAAATATAAAATAAACGAAATTGGGCCTCGCTTCCTTCATGATTCTTATACCTGTTATCGAGATAATCACTATTGCACAGGTCAGTTTGCATAAAATCGTAAAAGAAAGAATATGTAATTATTTATAGCAAACGATGGTTTTATTCTGTTCCCTACATAATGTCATCGAAGAGTGTTAGAAGTATATGGAACGACAAACATGAAATTCTAGCGTTTATATGTTTGCGGTATTATTGGACCAAGATTGTTAATATGGGAAATGAAGTCTGCGAACAATCATTGGCATACACCATGAGGTTGTCATGTGTTAACTTGGTTTGTCAAACCGAATCACTAGAGTTCTAGCACTGGTACAACTTTTGCAACAAAAATTCGAAAAGCAGCATGTCCAGGGTTGTTTGATGATGATGGAGGCTCTTAAAATGTTGAATTTAATCCCGCAGAACAGAAGGATTCAATATCACACAAAAGGCGATCACTTAAATTTCGAAGAGTCCTTCGGACGATAATCAAATCAAGAAAAGAAAAGGAACAAAATTACTTTGTAATATTTCTCTCATGAGATGCTAGACAACTATCGAGACGAAAAAAAACTGTAAAAGAAACGTACAATAGTCTACTATCATGTTCATCATAATAAACACTTCTGATAAAAACGTCGCATAATGTACCTTTGTGAGTGGAATAGTAAACCCTTTTTTTCTAAAATCTTAGAATAATCCTTCCGTTTTCGTAGAATATTAAACCTTTTGGCTAAAGTCGTACAGCAACCTATCCTATTACTGAAATTGTGAAACAATTCATTTATGTGCTGAGAATAATAATTTCTTCTTATGGAAACATTAAAATTAAACACTTCAATATACACGTAAGTCATATACCGTTTTTATTTTCATCTATCCTTACTCTTACGAGGGAGGGTCACCAACTGTTCAATCGCTTTTGAGTCGGAACTATGTGCATCATATAGGTCATAATGAGCTATGAATACCGTGAAAAGAGTTCGGGCGGCTAGCTTCTTACTACTGAGATATAGCATTTTTACTATATTTTTCAGAAAAAGCCGTGGTCCCCCTCAGGAACATCAGAAAAAGTGAGTTTTGAGTTTCCGTCGGAAACTTTGCATGTAGATAGGCCTCAATGAGAATAGTTTATTGTGAATGTTTCAGATTTTTTGGTTGCTTCTAGTCTGAGATAAGAACATCGGATTCGCTGGTGTATATGAACAATTTTATAACAACTGTATCTGTAGATAGAAACAACAAAAAAAGCTGAAACTTTTGCAATAAAGTATTTTCATTGAGGTCTATATCCATGCAAAGTTTGAAGTCGAAATTCGAAATTCAGTTTTCCAAGTGTTCCTGAGGGGGACCACAGCCCTCTTTTCTTAAACATACAGTAAAAAGGCAGTATCTCAGCAGTAATAAGCTATCCGCCCGAACTCTTTTCATGGTATTCATAGCTCATTAGGACCTATATGATGCACATAGTTTCGGCTCAAAAGCGATTGAACAGTTGGTGACCCTCCCTCGTTAGAAATTCTTCCACTCATAAATTCTTGAAGGACATCTGACATCGATATAAATCTTTCAAGGATTTATGAACACTTTCTTAAAGTAGAATGGTTGACTATTCTGTAGTTTCTTTCTACAGCGTACGTTCTCATGAATTCTAATCCATCACCCTCACATTCATATTTTTCCACTCTCTTGCTCAGTTCACTCACAACACTTGTTTCTTATCTCACAAAATCCTTATTAGGCATGATTTGCACCCCGTGAGTTCCTTTGTGTTGACCCTCTGTGACACATGCTTATGGATTGCTATATTTACAAAAATGAATAGTCTAATAACTGTTTTGAGAGCCAATATTGAACTCATTTCTAGCTCTGAATAGCAGGATGTTTATGAGAAAAAAAATCTTAAACAAGTCTTATCATTTGAAAGGTTCCTACTTGGCTGCATAGAAAAAGGAGCTTTCAGTCTCCCTAAAAAAAAAGAGTGAAGTTGACTTTCAGCAATATGCTGATAGCATTCCAGCAATCATCTCATTGCCAAAATTTGGAAAATCTCAGTATCGATTATTATCTCTCCTTCAAAAACTGATGCTGTCATATTTATCAAAAATATTAAATTATACTCATATTCAACTTAAATGCCCAAACAGTGATGAAAACAGGATCAATGGACGGATTTAGTGGCATCTGGTCGACTTCTGATTAATATGGTCTGCTTCGACTCTTTCCTACGCGCAAAAAATTCACATACTGGTCGCGTGTCAGCAGCACGTTTGCCTCTCTCACGATACTTTCAAAAATAATTTAGATCAGTTACAACAGAATCAACATATGTCACGAAAAGCCCAAAATAGTCGAACTGTTTTTTTTTATGCTATTTCCGTCACTATTTGTTTGAACATTTTAATCAACTAGTGGTATAAAAAGCATAATTACCGTAATGCTTATTGTGTCAATAAATTGTGTTAATTTAGATAAATCTGACATTCCAAAAGAATCAACAGTTTTGCGATCAAGTAAATAGAAAACTATATTTACATATTTTTAGAAAAAGTGCTACGTGAATTTCGATTTTCATAGTTTTACTAATCATGCAAGCTATCAATGCTCTACTAGAAGCTATGGGGCTGCTTAACTTTTGCAAATAGCACTATTCTGAAAATTTTATGGGATATAATAACTGGTACTAAAATTCTTTTCAACGTACTATTCGCTTAGTCAACACTTACATGTCTTTTGCTTGTATTCAACTGGTCGTCTTGCTCTTTATATAGAATCTATTAATTTAATTGTTATTATTCATTTTTTTGACTTATCCGTCTTTCTTTCATTCTTCCTTATTTTTATATGAATCATAGAATCCCATTTGTTATATTGCTATTAACACTTCTTACAAGGGGGTAGCTTCAAGCTAATTCTCGTTTAAGTGTTTTCTTTGTCAAAGGATATAAGACACAACATGCATAATATCGCATTAATTAGAGTTTATTGCCTGAAAGTCACTAGAACTTTTCAAAGAATAGTAACAATATTGCGAATAACGAGAAAAAATGCAAATGCAATCATAACTAACAATCGACAGAATATACAGGGTGTCCCATAAGTAACAAGACAAGGAAAAAAAGTTTGAATATCTCCATTAGGGCTCGACCAAATGGGCTCAATTTTTTATCAAGGATAGAGGCATCTGCACACTCCAAATCCATACGAACAAGGTGAATGAGAACCTTTGTTAAGTATCGCTAGTGACCTCAACAATAAAATTTTTGCTTTGTCACTGGTAAGAAAAAACCAATATACAGGATAGTGCAAAAGTCACTTTATCGAAAAGAAAATTAAATATTTCCATTACGGCTCGAGCAACCGAGCTGATTTTTTTACCAAAAATAGAGGCATGCTTATACTTCAAATCCATACAGACAAGCTTAGTGAGGACCTTTGTTAAGTATATTTTTTTATTTTCCTGTCTGTGAAAAAGTAAAAATTTTATTGTTGAGGTCAATAGTGATACTTAACAAAGGTTCTCATTCACCTTGTTCGTATGGATTTGGAGTGTGCAGATGCCTCTATCCTTGATAAAAAATTGAGCCCATTTGGTCGAGCCCTAATGGAGATATTCAAACTTTTTTCCTTGTATTGTTACTTATGGGACACCCTGTATTGTGTCGCAATTCAAACATTTCATCAGGGCTATTGCATTATATCTTTATTTGGTAAATATACGTAATTGAAAACATGTTGTTGTGACTTTATTCTTTTCGCATCTAATTTGAATAAAGCTTTTATCAATCGACTTACGTATTTTTTTGTAAAAAATTCTAAGTAGTTTGTTCTTAGTTGTACATCAAGTGAGGACAATGGTAAAGTATATCGTGGTAACTAAAGTTAGTTGATTCATAAAATCAACCTTCATAAAATATCGACTCAGTTCGCCCTAGCCTGCGTGATTAAGAATCTTTTTAATTTTGAAATTTGAAGTTCGTCGCAATTGCAAAAATTCACAAAGAGAAGATCCGAAACTAATTGAGCATGTGGCTGTATGCCAATATAGATGAGCTCTTCAAATTAATATTGAAGTCAAGGATAACCAACAAATTTTTATTATGTCTGATCATATTTATGTGTGCGTTACTGCTATTCTTCATTCATTAAAACTCACGAAGTTACTCTGTACTGCTTCAAGAATTTTCTACTTGTGAATATTAGCGTGAAACTGTATATCGAAATTTCAAAACTTTGGAGAAAATACAAAATATGGCGTTTATCTTCTGGTAAAAACCGAGAATTGGAAATTTTACAATTCACAAAATGTGTAAAATAAATTCAAAATAATTTACATATTTTTTTTTGTGTTCTAATATTATTTTATTCTAAGTACGGATTCTAATTATTTTATTTTAAAAATTGATTTCTCTTTGATTTAAATAATCATCAATTTATTCTCGGCATGGGTATGAGTGGGTAGGATGTAGGAGTGAATCTGCGTCTTGCTTTCACCACATTCACACCTTTTATATAGATGACACATTCGTCTCAATACTGTTAATTTATGTTATGAGTATTCTTAGATCAGTATTTCTAGCAATCTATTCATAAAAGATTATTGATGATTCGTCAAATCACAGTGATGGAAAACGTTGACTTTTCTTAAATACTCCGTTTTTGTGTAGATTCAGGATGCAATTCGCTCCAAGTTGCCTGTTATGTATTTTCAAATATCCAGTGAAGGATATCAGCTAATACACTTCTATTTCAATTAGTTTGGTTTGAACTTGTGTTGATGTGCTCTTTTCTTCAATGCTCTGCTTTGTAGATGAAGGTCACTGAAGATCCAGAATTTCAATGAATCACCATTGTTTAACTTTCGCATTCTCATATATTCTGCAGAGGAAGTCGATCTTTCGTCAAACCATTATTCAAAGTGATAACTCCGCAAAATTACTGAAGAAATTTTAAGCCTGTTCCTCTCATATGCACTTCATCCACAAAAATTAATGTCAGGATCAAGTCGTTCACTAGCCAGAGAAATATGAATGGTGCAATATTGGTACTAACGATCAGAAATAATCATCGAATCCGATTGAAAATATATTGAGAAGAGGAAAATGAATTGGTATGTTTATCAAAAAATCTTCAGTCAACATTCGACGATAGGAATGATGATAATTTGCCTAATCATCTTCAACAGTTCAGCAGAGAACGAGAGAGTATCTTGATACAAAAAGAACAACGATTTCATGTCTCAAGGACAAGTAAGTTGTCACATATTCTGTCATGAGCTCACGTTTCGTTCTCTATTCATGAAAAACTAATTCTGTGAAACATACTATCCCACATATTTACAATCATTCACTTCGAGGATACAGAAGCTTCAAAACGGAATAAAAAATGCTGAATGAATCGAACAGCGTTCATTCAGTTCGAGACGGATGTCTTATTTATTTTAAAAGAGTATAAAAGCAAAGAATGTTGATATTGTCAATAGTCAATAATTGTGACGATAGTACCATGAAGTCATGGCATAATTTTGTGGGTAACCATATGGATGATGGCTGTAGGTATAGTTATAGCTCGCTTCAGTCAAACTTCTTCTTTCCAAATATTGGCCTAGTGCTTTATCCAGCCAAACCGGAAGTTTTAAACCAGAAACATGATAGAGAACACGAATCGCCAAGGGGCTGTCCATTATTATCGTTGGAGTAGGGATACAACGACGGTGCCTAATCCTACCACCAGACATCACTTATTTATCCAAATATACAGTTGGTTGCAACGCTTGAACAGATAAAGCTGCTTACTTTATCTGGTCTAGTTGCCTCTATAGTTATATGCATCACTTCTCAATGATAGATATTTCGAGACACAAAATGGATGGCGTAATAATGTTTGAAAAGTAATGCATAAATTTTTATTCATCTCTCTCTGCTTTCCTTTTACTATTTGATGGTACTTAACTCATCCTATTAAATGTCGTCAAAATATTTTGAAAAGTAATACATAATGCTTATTCGTTTCTCTTCTTCCTTCTTACTCTTCGATAGCACTTGACTCATCCCATTGGTGTACACGATTTACTTTTCATGGATTTCCTTTCTATTGATTAAATAAAAATAATTTTCGAATTAACGCTCATTTTGTATGATGATTTACTTTTCCTTGATTAGTTTGACGAAAAGAAGGGTGTGGGTGTGGGTGTGGGTGTGGGTGGATGTGGGTAAGTGAAGGTCTATTTTCCGATGTTGACCTTAAATTCTCTCATGCCCACACCCACACCTACTCCAAATCCTATAAACCAAATCCATATAAATTAGGACAATTTGTTGAAAGTAGAATACGTTCCATAGATGATGATTCAAGATTAAGAAATTGAATTTTATGATGAATTTTAGGTAAAATCTGTAGACAGAATCGGTCAAGTATTGTATTAGTAAATCGATATAATAAACCATTAGAGAAAAATGTCATTGATGTTAAATATTTCGTAAAAACCAAATAATTTACAAGTGTGGGGTGTGGGGTGGATGTACTTCTTCTCTATACCCACACCGACACGCACACCCAATACATCATTAGGGTATGTCTACGTGGGTTTTTCTTTTTCATTGGATTTATTCAAAGTATTCTTCATAAAAAAAAAATTTGAATGTGTTTTTTTTGCTCTTTCATCCTTTGAGCTGATAGTGCAAAAGGCCAGCCACAGCAGATTGAAATCCAGCATTATAATCAGTGGCAACTTCATTTTTGACATAATCATCTCGTCGATCTTCATAGTTATCATTTCGATCAGGTCCACCAATTAAAGCACCAATCAATAGTTGAGGATTTGGACCAGGATTATTGAATGCACTCCAGTCGCAAATAGCTGGCCGGTTTGGACATGAACTAATATATAGACGAAACGATGTCAATGAGACATCAGAAACAATCGACTTGCCTAGATCGATGATGAGGTCGTTGTGGATAGTTATGACCGAAACCAATCACATATGATCGACCAGAATCACCTAGAATGTAGCCAATTTGTTGTGAGGCAAAAGTCAAATACTCCTGGGTATTGATGCCAATGTCAGCAGCCTATTCAAATACAAGACGGGGTCAGATGAGTGTCTCTTATAGAAATCGATCGTCTTGATGTGTCATTTACCTGTAGACAAAGAAAAGCCACATTAGCAGCATGACGAAGGGTACCCCATTGATCAAGATACACGAGACCTTTGGGTGTTTTCGGTGCTTGTCGAACAATATAGTTGCAGAAGTTCTCGACTTGTTGTCGATATGTTAGTTTTTGTGTTATCTTAGCCATCAATAGTTGAACACCAGCTGTCTTATCATCCCAAGAGAATTCTTGTGGTTGTCTATCGAGTTCGAACTCAGCATAGTGTTTCTCGACATCTGTTTGATAGCCTTGTTCACCAGTGGCATGCAAGAGCCAAGCAGCGCTCCAACCCAATTCATCACCATAGCCTGACCAAGAGTTGTAGAAATTAGCAGCATTCGGAATCGAATCCGAATATTTGCCACGATATTGATTGGCAAAATCATACAATTGACGTGCATGAATCAGCAAAGTCGATGCATAACTAGGATCTGATGAACGAAAAACAAGTGAAGCGGCAGCAAGAGCAGCTGCTGTCTCAGCCAAAAGATCGGAACCAGGTTGTTGTCGTGTCACTTTCCATGCTGGTCGTGGTTTAGTCCAGTCTTCTGGTCTTGACCATGATGCATGATCATCATATCCATCACCAACTTGTCCATAGAATTCATATTCACTCACATGTGCCTAATTGAAATAAACACATTAAATTAGATATCACAAAGTCGTGTGTGATTATATGTAAAAGAAGAACTAAACGATTATTTTTCGTGAATAGGTTCGTTTCTACTTCAAACTACTCGATTGTAGTCTCGGAACAATAGATACTTTCTGTGAGCACATCAATCCATTGTTGCGATAGAGAGCATAGAACTACAAAGTAGTTTGTTTAAAATCTAACCTTGATGAAATAATCAGTCGACCATCGAATAGCTTCTCGAACATGATGGAGTTGACCTGAGTGTTGATAAGCATCTTCATAGTCAAGCGCACCCCAAGCTAATAATGTTGTAAATGAAGCCATCGGAAAACCGAATTTAACATAATCACCACCATCAAAATAGCCGCCAGTCAAATCCTCACCATTTTGTCCTTTGTCCATCAACATTGAATCACCTCGCCAGCTAATTCGATTGTTTGCTGGTAGTTTACCAGCTCGTTGTGATTCATAGAAGAGAAGTGACATACGAAGCACTTCACCATAATTATATTTGCCATTGAGTACGATTAGGCTGGTTGACGTCGATGATGCCAGTGTTGATTGAGATGAAGTTGTTGTTTGTGAAGCATTGGCGACCTCACTTGAAGATGTCAATATCGATTTACCATTGAAGAAAGCACACACAAGATTATGAGGAGCTACTCCATTATGTGCTACAAATTTAAAATCAAATACTGAACCAGCAGATAACTGAGCATTCCAATCTTTGTTTCGATAGACAAAGATTCGATCATCTGTTTTCGAACGAAGATCACCGAGCCATACCTATTAGTATCGTAGAAGAATTGAAGTTGTCTGTACTACAATTAAAATTGGCATGCTTACATCAAGAAGTACTGCCTGATCAAATCGTAGTTCGATTTCCCAACCATCTATGATTTGATTGTCGATTCGGATTTCTAAGCCAGCTTCAAAACCACCAGGCCATTCTTTATCTACTCGAAGTTTTGTCTGGAACATATCTACGAGTAGTGATACCAACACGCTCACCTACTTTAACTTCAATCATGTCAAAATAAAGAACCATTAAAGCTTGTCGAATCGAAAATGATTTACTGATTCAATAGGCTAAAGGCTGTTTGTATGTGATTGTTGAAGAAAATGGCCACAATTTTATATTCTTCCTCTTATCTTCCTTTCTAATTTTCAAAGAGACAAAGTCTATACGCACAAGGAATTGGATACACTTGCTTCAACAGTTATACAATCATTAGTCGTCTTGTGTAGCTCTTGAACATTCACTCTCTTATCTGGTTGACTGCATCTCATTCTACTTCTCTTTCGAGTGAGTATATCTTGTCCTTGCTCTGTTACGTGACGGAAGGAATAATGATTAGTGCAAAAGTCTGGACACAAATGTTGAATGTGATTGTGGGTTCATTTCAAAAAAGTGATGTTGATGTGGGACTCAAACTTAGAGTTTTCAAATGACACCAAAAACTTCATGTTTTGTCACCTATTTCTGTCCAATACATGTCGTAGAAAGTTCTTTAGCTCAAGTATATTTGCTAAGTAGAAGATTGTTTCCAAATAAACTTGAGTCAAAACTGATGTTGGCAGCTAGAGTTATAAGCATTTTATTTTTCAGCAAAAATTGGCGCCAAATAATCTTTTTGCTGGTTATTTTATTTCTAATTATTTCATAGTGACAAATTCCAAAGCGGAACTATGCAGAGGATATACCTGCAGAACTCGAAAAGCTCTATCTAGACAGGCACTGAAAACTAGTCAACGTTTTTAATTCTGAGTTGCAGGCGCTTGGAAAAAAAATTCCATAATTCATAGTCGTTGCTAAGGAACTGAACAGCATCGAAATTGTAGTTTTTAGCGAGTGGAAACCATTTTCCATGCCGTCTGAAAGTTTCGTTTGGATTTCTCTTGAAATAACTGAAAGATATTTGTTTTAAAAACAAAAAAAACGTCGAGAATAGCGCAAAAATTACAGGGTATTTTTTGTAGCATTTTTAAAAACTAAAAATTTTGTGTCCCACATCAACTCAACTTTTTGTTAAAATATTCATTCTCAATCCACAGACTTGGTTCTATCTCTAACAAAAGAAGAATCAGGTTTCTAGAACGTTATGTGAACTCGCAATCATACTCGACATTTGTGCCAAGACTTCTGCATTAGTTCTTAGTGTTGATATAGTGTGAGGGTGTGGGTGCGAGCGTTGTTGAAGAAGAGAGCGTAAGTGTGGATGTAATTTTTGATGGTTGTTGATGTACATTTGGATGTGATTGTGTGATGAATAGGGATGGATGTGGGGATGTTCTCATTTATATACGCACACGAATGTCTTCACCCACATTTTCATACTCGTCACCATGAAAGCGAGTTCATTGCGCAAAGGATATCTTCGCATTGACAAAAACAAATATCGTTGATCTGAACGACAACAGAAAAAGAAAAACATCAACGTGTGTGATGAAACTGTGTTCGGTAAGCATTTGATTTTGAGTTGACTTCAAATAGTGTTTAAAAAAGTATCTAACACGCAACTGTTTCTCTTCTACGCCAAAATCGGTTGTCACAGTCAAATCTTGAGCTTTCTATATGTTATTTTAGTGTGATCGTCATTATCTTCTGCAAGCGCTAAGTAGATTCGATTAATACAAGTTGGAAATTATTAGAAACGAAAATAAGACATCACCACTGAATGACTCAGGCTACCTTTTAGGTGTTATATGAGCAAACGAAAGAATGTGCGTAGGCGAATAATGATGAGTCATCGTTATTGATGAGAGATTCTACACGCTTCCTAAGCTTTCATAATTAGTTAAATGATTATAAATACGTTAGCGCTTTATGCAGGTTGTTACTATCGTTTGTCTCCTTTATATTAACTCATGCTTTTGCACATATGTTTTATAGAAGTAAGTTCTTTTGGTAGAAATGCAAAGACTCAAGATGAATACATTGGAATCGACACTATTCGGTCTATCTAACTCGAAGATTTGCCCAATGAATTATTGCTCGAAATTTTCCAATATTTAGCTTTCAATGATCTATTTAATGCTTTTGTTAAGTTGAATTCATGTCATTTTCGAGCGTTGTCTCGTGCTGCATGTCCTCCGATGGTGATTTCTCAAGATGTTGAACTACCTGCCGCACAATTCTTTAGCCAGTATACACAAGCTTTGAAATTGAAAGAGATGAACTGTAGCATTGACTTGTCAATATTTGTCAATCTACGTTTTTTAATTATCCAAAACTTTCCTTTCGATCTTGGCCTCACTTAGAACAAGTGCACACGTTCGACTATAAGTCACTCTACTATCTTTTCCAAAATAAGGAACAAAGTTCAACATTGAAATCATTCTATTTGTCACATTCTGGTGATGTACGGCAAACACTAGTTCGGCTTCTTTGTCTTTTGCCATCTCTGGAGCACTTGAAACTTAATCAATGGCTGGACTTTGATCACAAAATCCCTGCTAATAAGATCATTCCGGCGCTTTCTCTTATCGATCTGGATGTGACCCTGCTCTATGCTGAAAATATATTATAACGACCAAAATCACTTCTCTTTACTCTTCTACCAAATCTCGAAAGAATTCATATCAAAATAGCATTTAATAAGCCTAGAGAATTTTTACTTTTGTACAAAGCATTAAAATCTTGGCCCAAAATTCAATAGTTTAGCTGTCATATCAATCTTGAAAGGCCCACGCATGAATTGATTGATAGAATCGTGAAAGTAGTTAGATGTTTACCTTGTTTTGCTAAAATCAACTGTCGTCGTACTGGCAGAAACTCGAATTCAATTATTTTCTATAAAAACTAGTCGTTCGCCAACTAGTACTCATAGCATTATTCTACAAAATGTAATCGATGATAGTCGTGTAAACAAATAAACTTTTAATATTTTAGCGTGTAAGTATGGATGGATGTAGGTGCATATCTATTCTTCATCCACACTCACACCCTAAGTATACCAGAGCTTATTTTCGAATATCTACCCAAACTTTTAGATTGTATTTATCAATATCTGTTACATTTTAACAAATTATATCACGAATAAATAAACATTTTATATATGAAAAAAAAGGAAATATTGAACTGCATATAAAGGAAAAACAAAAACAAACACATTCTTATTTAGTTTACAACAAACAGTAAATCTTTTGTCATTTGTTCCATAAAATGAGTGTTTTAACATGAGAAATTAAAAATTTATTGTTCATTCAATATGAGTCGTTTCATGACCATAAATTTTATCAACAGTTTGTAAATTATTCTTAAATAACGATGTACCAAATGATGATATCATACCATGTAATGTTTGATTAGATTTTAAACCACCTGAAATAAAAATTACAAAAACTTATTTATAAATAAATTGATTTCTTACGATCAATATATCGTCGTGCAATTAATTTAAGTAATTCATCTAATAATATAACTGGTAGAGAAATTTTAATGACAGCCAACCACTCTTCTAATGAAAGTGGACATATTTGAAATACAGTCTAAAAGAAAATAAATGTACAACAAATTAATTGAATCATAGGAAAAAAAAACTTACATTAAACATAGGAATATAAAGAATCATCGTATGTAATGACATCGATAAAGCAATAGCATATAAAAGATATTTATTCTTCCATGGTGGCATTTTAACAAGCGATTGATTTTCAGATAAACTAAAACAAAATCAGTTTTTTTGTTTGTTCTATTTTAAAAATATGAATTTCAATAATAACCTGTTAAGTGCATTACACATTTCAATAGTAACAAGTACTGATAGAGCCATTGTCATTGGATGTGGATCATCAAATACAGAACAATTTATATTTTCCCATTCTTTACCACCAGCACGACATTTGAAATGATTTTGCTACATAGAAAAATAAATATTTCAAAAATTCACATAAAAATTAGGATAATCATCAAACACATGCTTCTATTAAAGCATATATAATATGCGTTTTAAAATTAAGCTGTTTGTTTGCCTTCACTTTATTCACCATCAGTTAGTGAATAATATATTTCTCTCTTTCAATGTTATTTTAAAAAAATTAAAACAAGATAAATATTCATGCTTATTAGCTCGTTTTCTATCTTACTTATTCGATTATGAAAACTCTTCTGATAAAACTCAATATACTTCATAAATTTAAGTAAAATACAATACATACTAAATGCCAATAGGAAAGTTTTGGACCATTAGATGCATGCATTGACCACCATGTTGCACTCCATACAACAGCAAAACCAACATAACCTATTCGAAAACAAGAAAATAGAAAAAAATTCAAAATTTTCGAAAATATGTAATTTACTTCCGATAGCCAAATAACGAAAGAAAAGCCATGGTGTTATTAATGATTCTTTTGGATTACGTGGTGGACGTTCCATAATATCTAAATCAGGTGGATTAAAACCAAGTGCTGTTGCTGGTAAACCATCAGTTACTAAATTAACCCAAAGCAGTTGAACAGGTATCAATGATTCTGGTAAACCAAGAGCAGCCGTTAAAAAAATACAAACCACCTAAATCATTCAAGTTATTTATTTTTTTTCTAAATTGTTTTTCTTTAATAAATTTTACCTCTCCAATATTTGATGAAATTAAATAACGAATAAATTGTTTCATATTATTATAAATAGCTCGACCTTCTTCAACAGCAGCAACAATTGAAGAAAAATTATCATCAGCTAAAACCATATCAGCTGCTGTCTTAGCTACAGCTGTACCAGAACCCATAGCAATACCAATTTCAGCTTTTTTTAATGCAGGTGCATCATTAACACCATCACCTGTCATAGCTGTTATTTCACCATGTGATTGTAAATATTCAACAATTTTTGATTTATGTGTTGGTTCAACACGAGCAAACATTTTTGCATAACGACAAGCTTCAGATTGTTCTTCCATTGAAAGATCATCAAATTCTCGACCACTAAATGCTTTACCTATAAAAATGAAAACGACAATCATTAACATTAATATATACATATATACGGAAATTATCTTACCTTGTATATCTTCCAAATCATGAAAAATACCAATACGCTGACAAATAGCTTCAGCTGTATTCTTATTATCACCTGTAATCATAATAACACGAATACCAGCATCACGACATCGTTCAATAGCATCAATAACTTCTACACGTGGTGGATCAAGCATACCAACAACACCAACAAATGTTATATTATTCTATATATATATGTGTATATATCAATAAAGATTTCTTTTACATACTATGATCAACTAAGAAATATCTTACTTCATAAATAACAAATTTACTTGAATCTTCTAAATCCATTTCTTCTTTTCTTAATGGACTATCAATAGTTCCTAATGCTAAACAACGTAATGTATCTCGTCCTGTTCCATATTGATTAACTAATCTCATAATTTCTTGTTTGATTTGTGAAGTTATAGGAAATTTTTGTGTTCCAACTCGAATATGTGTACATCGTTCAATAACTGATTCTGGAGCACCTTTAACAAACATTTTAGCTGATTGTTGATTATTACTAGTACTTCTTCCAGCAGGAGCAACATATGTTGACATAGATTTTCTATCACGTGAAAATTCTAATGTAAATTCTTTACAATATTTTTGATGAATAATTGTATTTGATGACATAGCCATTTCATGTGATGATAAACGTGATTTATCTGTATTGAAAACATTCATTTTTTCAACAAGTACAGTTAATGCTGTTTCGGTTGCTTCACCAACTTTTTCGAAAACTTTCTTTGACTATTTTTAAATAAAAGTACAATATTAAACAAGTATATAGGAAAAAAACAAAAGTGAAAAAACTAACTTCATTATAATCTAATGCTGAATCATTACATAAAGCAGCACATTCAGCTAATTCAATTAATCCACTACGATCCGAACAATTAAATTTTCTTCCATTAAATAGTATATCACCTTTTGGTTCATATGTTGATCCAGTTACTTCAAATTGATCGATTTCTATATCATTACCATCAGCTTTATTGAATATAAATATCTAATATGAAAATAATAAGTATCAATCAAAAAAGTATTCCTATTTGCAAAAAAGAACTTACTCGACAAACTGACATTTGATTTGTTGTTAATGTTCCTGTTTTATCCGAACAAATAACTGATGTACAACCAAGTGTTTCAACTGATGGTAATGAACGTACAATAGCATTTTTCTTAGCCATTCGACGTGTTCCTAATGCAAGACAAGTTGTTATAACAGCTGGTAAACCTTCCGGTATGGCAGCAACAGCTATAACAACAACAAAAAAATCATTAAGAAAAATTTTCATAATAAAATAAACTAATCAAACCAAGTGCAACAGCAATTTTAAAATAATAGATAGCACCACGTATCCATGAACCACCATGTACAGGATCATTAAAATGACCAATATTAATAGCCCATACAGCAATACAAATAACAGAAATAACCTTAAAAGAAAATTTTTTTTTTTTTGTTTTTTTATATTTTCATTTGATGATAAATAACACATACTTTTGATAATTGTTCGCCAAATTCATCTAATTTTTGTTGTAATGGTGTTCTTTCTTCTTCAGTATCAGTCATAACCGATCGAATTTTTCCTAAATAAATCAACAATTGAAATACATCATGAAAAATTTTCACAAAATCTTCTCATACTACAGTCTTTCATTTATAGATTTTCCTCAAGGAATACTTTATTAATCACGTTTCTTTATAATAGACAATAAAAAAAACAAAGAAAACTTTTAGCATAGTCCCTATAGGATTAACATGAAAAAGATAATACATCTACTGTTGTTAATGACAAGAAGATTGTTTTATTCTATCTATTTTGAGACACATATCTTCATAATCCTCCAGAAATTCAATAAGGAATTAATTCATATATGAAAATAAAACTTCTTACCAATTTCAGTATTCAAACCAGTTCCAATAACAATACCTCGACATTTACCAGCTGCAATATTTGTTCCCTAGAAATTATTTTCATACATTAATTATACAAATATTTCTAAATTCATTATCATACAGAAAAGAGAATATTTTTTTTATCTTGATTGACAGCACGTAGATCAAGTATTGGATCAGTATGTTTAATAATAGAAACACTTTCACCAGTTAATAATGATTGATCAACACGAAGTGTTGTTGAATAAATTTTTGTTATACGAATATCAGCTGGAACTTTATCTCCAACAGATACTTCAACAATATCACCTGGTACAAGATCTCGAGCTTTAATACGTTGTATATGTCCTGATCGATTTTGTCGAATAACTTGAGCTATTTCTGGTTCATATTCTTTTAAAGCTTCAATAGCACTTTCAGCATTACGTTCCTAATTTATTTCGAATTTCATAAAATAAAAAAATAAATAAATCAAATGTATTTACCTGCCATACACCAACAGCTGCATTTGCAATAAGTATAAGAAGAATAACAAGTGGTTCAACAAAAGCTGCAACAAGACTATCTTCTTCTTTATGTTCTTCAAATAAAGCTAAGACCTATTTCAAAAAAATAATAATAATAATAATCATAAAATAAAATACAAAAAAACAAATAAATTTACAAATGAAATACAAGCAGCAGCAAGTAAAATTTTGACTAGAAGATCATCGAATTGTTCTAAGATAAGTTTCCATAATGGTTTACTCTCTTCAGCTGGTAATTCTATGAGAAAAAAAAAATATTATTCAAATATAATATTATTGATATATTGTAAATTACCATTTGGTCCATAATTTTCAAAATCTTTTCTGACACGTTCTTCAGGAAGACCAATATCTTCGTTAACTTGATAAAGATCAGCAATTTCTTCTTTGGTTTTTGTCCATGGATAATCAATAATTAATTTTGTACTTGATGCCCGTTCAGTCATACTAGTTTGACGTATGATAATCTAGATTGAGAATAGACTATTACTGATAATACTAATAGGAATAGCGCAAATTCATAAATGACTCATAATTCCTCAATGATAGACACATATATATTTACGTGGAGACACGCGTCTTGTCATCATCAGACAAGGAAAAAAGTCTTCTGATATAAAATGATAAGTTGATTATTCTCTCCAATCACTTTTAAATAAAAGTTAATGAAATAAAAAAAATAATCATAAATTTATTGTTTTTTTTTTAATAATAACAATTCATAGAAAAGTATTTTTTTTGTTTATCAAATTTCAATAGCAATTGACTTTACTAAACAATAGAGGACGCTAGAAAATAGTTTTCATAAGTATTAAAACTTTATCTTTTTTTTTTTTCTTAGTTCATCTTTTTCTTTTTATTAAAAAGTATATCACAATACATATTTAAAAAAAAATACAAGAAAAACATATCTTGATTGTTTCTTTTCATAAAAATAATATCAACAAAATTGAACTAGCTTTTAAAAATATACAGTTTTATCATCCAAAAAAAATCTATGATCAATGAGTACCAAATGATGTAATATTACAAACATCAATTTTTGATAGACCACTAGATAAAAAAAAACAAGAATTCATTGAAATATTTAATAAATGATTAAAAAAAAACAACAACATACTTATGTGTTTTTGATACACGATAACATTTTTCTGCATATGCAGATTTACCAAGTGAATCAACAAAATCTTCATCATGTGTTATAACAATTAATTGAAAATTTTTTAAATTTGCACGATTTTTAACAATTCTAAAATAAGCAAAAAAAAAACAGAAAGTTTTAGTTCATCAAATAATTTTACAATAATCTATTAGAGAATATACACATACTCAATTAATGCTTGAGCTAAACCATCAATATTTTCAAAATCAAGATTAGTTGTTGGTTCATCAAGAGCAAGTATACCACAATTAAGACAAAATGCTTCAGCTAATGCAAGTCGAATAATAAGTGAAGCAAGAACTTTTTGACCAGCACTACAACGATTTCTCATATCCATAACTGAACCTGATTTAAGCATAACAACACGATAATTATATGTTCGACGAGTTTTTGATGCATTTTCTTCATCAGCATCGGAACGTATTTCAATAGCATCAATATCTGAACCACGATATGTTGTACGCCAAAGATCACGTATAATTTTATTTAATTGTTTCATTTTTTGTGTATGATATGTCATCATTGTTTGATCTAAAACTTTATAAAAACGTTCAAGATCTTGTGATGCTATTTCTTCAGTTGTTTGTTGTATAAAATGTTTAAGATAACGTTCATGTGCATTTTTTAAATGTTCTTGTTCAAGTTCTTGTTTTAATTCAATTAATTGTTGTTCTAATGTTGCTAAACGTGCTGATACAGTATGTTTTTCTTTTAATAATGTTTCTTGTGTTGAACGTAATTGTTTTTCTTCACGTATAAGTGAATCTAATCTATTAGTATGAAAACAAAAAATATATATATTGATTTAAAATGAAAAAAAGAAAAAATTAATTTACTTAAGTCCATGAGTTTTTTCTTCAAGTATAATAAGATCATTTTGTTTTTGTTCAAGTTCAATTTGACTTTGAAGTAATTGTCGATTATCATTTAATTGTCGATAACGAATATCAGCTCGTGCTAAATCATCTTTATGTTGATCAATAATTATTATTATTGATGATAATTCTGATTGTAATTGTTTTTCTTGAATATTTAATTGATCAAGTGAAGAACGAAGTTCTTCTAATAATTTAGATGTACGATCTTCAAAACTAAATATTATAATTATAGAAAAAGAAAAATCTACATAAATCTATAATATTTTTGTTAACTCTTTTAAAAGTTCAAGAAGATTTTTCTTACAACAGAAGGAAGTCAGAGATGTCCATCGCGGTTGAAAACTGACCGCTGCGGCGCCGCGACGATAAAAGAAAAAAGCTAACCCGCCGCTACCATACCTCGGTGATAAAAACAGAAAACCTACCGCACCGCTGCCGCGATGATTGTTAGAATAATGTTGTGAATTTTACGATCTGTGACTGTTCAGGACTTGAGCTGCTGTTACCAATCGATAAGATTCGTTGAATCTCATAGTTTTGCACTTGCAAACATTGAAATTCTGTTCGAATTCATGCATTGTTATTCAAAAAACCCTACCGCTACCGCGCCGCTGCCGCGATAGTTAGTTAAAAAAACAACCGCTACCGCGCCGCCACCGCCACAGCGGCAGAGGCAGCGGTCGCGCCGCGATGGACATCTCTAGAAGGAAGACAACTATAACAATAGAGCTGATAGATCCTTAGTACATTCATACTATAGTTATAACGAAATACCTTATTCTTCCTCTAGATTTACACAATGTCCTTTAGCAAAAATCTTGGCCCTTCTAAAAACCTGAAAGAAAGGAATTTTCGACCTTAATCAGTTTATATAATGCTTAAATTTTCAGTCAAAATGGATGCTTTGTTATTGAGATATTGGACGCAGAAAAAAATCAGAAACATTTTGCAAGCAACTCACAAAATCCAGCTTCTCTTCAACATCCAGTATTTCCAAAAGTAAATAATAGTTGTTGTTGAAAATTTCAGAGTAATCTAAATAGCGTATCAGCTATTTATGAGCAAAATCCCTGTTTCGATTTTGTTCTTGAGGTAGAATATCTCAAAGATAGAACATTTTCTTTATGATAGTGTCCTGTGTTAGTCGAATGACTTAAAATTTACGAGATAGTTTCGTCAGATATATGTTTAACAATATCACTTTAAAAAAATCAAAGCCACACGTCGCTTATATGAAGAAAAAAAATACTTCAGAAAAGAAAAGTGATGTTTAAAAAATTACGAATCATTTGAGAGTTATATTTTCATCTCTGTATGATATCAATTCAGAAGAATGTTAGTTTTTTGCATATAAGATCTTGTAGTGAAATTTATTGAAATTATTCGAATGTCTCTTAGTAGGGATATTGAATTCTTAAAGGTTAACATACTTATTAATTTTTGTTGTTAATGTTTTTAATTCATGAAGTTTTTGTTCGAGAACATTGATCTATAAATCAAAATAAAATTTTATAATAAATAAAAAATCCTAATAATACAAACAGATTCTGTAAGTGTAGATAATGTTTTTTCTTTTTCTATTTTAAAACGATTTTTTTCTTTTGTTTTCATATCAATATTTGTCTAAAATCGAAATAGAATTTTAAAGATAAATAATTTTTTTTTTGTTTTATAAAACAAAAATTTTACATTAATTGGTTCTAATGATGTTTTATCTGTTTCAATTTCAACTTTAAGTGTTTGAATATTATTTGTTGATTTTTGTAATTGTTCATCAAGTCGTTCTTTTTTTTGTATATCAGAACTTAATTTTAATTTTTCATTTTTAAGTTCAGTTAATGATTCACGTAATTCTTGTATTAAATCTTGTTGTGAACGTAATTCTTTATGTTTACATTGTAATTCTTTATCAAGATAATCAAATTGATTTTGTATATCATCTTTAATTTGTTTTACTTCATCAAGAGAACGTGGTATTGTTGTAGTTTTTTGTCCTTTAGCTTTTAATTAAAAAAAAAACAAAAAAACAAAGATAAATTTGTATTTTTCATTATAAAAATCTTATATTTACTAAGTTTTTGTTGACAAATATTAATTTTTGTTTCAAAATCTTTTCTTTCATTAATATATTTATTAAGCATAATTATATCAGTTTTAATTTGTTCACATTGTTCTAATGGTAAACAAATATGATCATTTAATTCTTGTTCTAAATCATTTTGTTTAGTTTTTAATTGTAAAATTTCATTATCAAGTTGTTTCATAGAATTTTTTAATGTTGGAATATCTTTATCTTCAAGATCTTGTAATTGACTATGTATGGATTTAAGATTAAGACATTTTTCAAATTTTTCTTGTAATAATGTTAAATCACGATCAATTTTATTACGATATTCAGGTCCTTTTATTTGTAATTCCATATCACGTATTAATTGTTCACCTTCAGATTGTTTTTCAAATTTTCGATAACATAATGGACAACATCTATTATAAAAAAGAGACAAAAAAAAAAGAAATTTTTTTTTTTTTTTCTTTTTATTTTATTTACGGATCTGATTTTAATGTTGATTGAACTTGATTAATAAATTTTTGATAAGCTTTTTCCATACCAACAATATTTCCTTTTTCATCTTGTTTTTGTTTAACATCATTAGATAATTTTTCTAAATATTTATCATAGATTTGTCCATTAAGTTGTTCTTGTAAACGATCAGTATATTCATTTCGTAATGAATCTTTACGTTTTAATTCATCAACTAATAAACGTCGTTTTTCTTCTTTACCAGATAATTGACGACGTATATCTTGAATTTGTCTTTCTAATGTTGAACGATTTTGTTGTAATTTACGATGTTCTTTTTCAAATTGTATATAAATATTTGATTCATCTTCTGGTATTGAACCTTGAAAAATTGATGTTAAAATTTCATGATGACGAACTTTACTAAAAAAAAATAGAATATGTTAAAATCGATTTATATATTTTTCTTTGAAAATTTATAACAAGTCAGTCTATGTATTTCTAACAAGGAAAAGTCATCAATTGATCAATCACTTTTGCATTGAGACTATACAGTAAAACCTCCTTATAGTGGACACCTATGAGACTTTTTGAAAGTGTCTACTATAGAGAGGTTTGGTCTTTTCAAAAAGCGAAGTTTTTCGAAGAAGCGAGCGCGTTTTCTAAGGATTCGAAGAGTGTTAGTGAATAAGATAATTAGCCAGTGTTCATTGTTACTTCTCTCCTCATGCATTATTGTTCTTGAAATACAAAAAAATCAGCAGTTGTTAGAATACAGGAAGGCTCTTTAGTTGACACTGAATGAGACTTCTCAAAAATATCCAGTATTGGATGATGTCCACCATAGAGAAGTGTCCACTATGGGAGGTTTTACTGTATATCTTATATAGGTACTAATGAACAATGATTATCCTGAAAAAAAATCGTGAACATAAGATAAATTGATTATTGAATTTCTACTTGAAACTTTGCATAGAAAGAGGCCTTACCAAAAATAATATTTTGTGAAAGTTCGAGATCTTTTGATTTTCTCCTATTCTGAAATGGAAACATCAAATCTTCTAGTTTATCCGAATGAAGTTATCATAGTTGTATCTACGAATAGAAACAGCGAAAAGATCTAAAACACTCACACAACATTATTTTTGATAAAGTTTCTAGTGGAAAATTGAAAATCAATTTTTCTGGTTATTCTGAGAGAGATCAAGACATTCATTTAGATTCGAACGTTTTTTTTTCAAGATAATCATAACTCATTAGTATCTATATAATGTACCGAGTCTGAACGTAAAAGCGATTTAATAGTTAAATTTCTTCAGGGACACGAATGATACATATCTTTGATTTATTAATATTATTACATTATATATGACTCGAAGACTCATTCAATAGGTTATCTAAAGGTTTCTTATAGTTTTTCAAAACAAAAAAAAACAACAATCGCAACTCATATAAATATTTACATTTTTCTAATTTGTTCATCACGTTCTGATTTTTCTTTTTTAAACATTTCATATTCTGTATTAATTTTTGAATTAACAAGTAAATTATCAATTTCATTATTTAAATCTTTAAGTTGTAATTGAAGTTGTATACGTTTTTGTTCATCATTATTAATATTAATTTTTAATTGTTCAATATTTATTTCATTAGATAATTTTTGTTGATATTCATCTTCTTTACGTTCAATACGTTTATTAAGATCATTTAATTTATTTAAATATTGTTCAATTTGTTTTTGTTGTTGTTTAATATCTTGAATTTCTTTTAATGTTTTTTCAACTTGTGAACTTTTTAATCTAATTGTTGATTCTATTTTAATACGTTCTTCATGATATTTATCTAAATCTTGTTGAATATTTTTTTCGTTTTGTTCATAAAATAAACGTTTTTCTATTAAATTTTTTTGTTCATTTTTAATTTGTTTATCTAAATAATTATTTAAATTTGTTTTATCAATTATTTGAGATGATGTTTGAGATAAATTTTCTATATATTCATTAATAAATTGTTGACGATGATTTATATTTGTTTTATATTGTTTTTCTTCAAATTCATATGCACCTAAACGTGTCGTTTCTGATGTACGTTTATCAATAAGTTTTTTTATTTGACGTTCCATTGTTAATTTTTTTGCTTCTAACTAAAAAACAAAAAACAAAACATTAATAAAACTTTCTATATTCATATTTCATTCTTGAGATAATTAAAATTTTTTACTAAATATGAAAAATATTCGTACATCTTGTAGTTCACGTTTTTTTTTATCTTGATCACGTTGAAAATTAGTAATTAATAATTTAAGTTCATCTTCTGAACCTTGAAATGGTTCATCAATAATTGCATTTAATTCACGAATTTTCTTTTTTAATACTTCACATCCATTTGTAAGACGATCTAATCAAGAATAATAATAATAATAAATATACTTTTTTATTTTGTGAAAATATCATACCCATATCTCGTTGAAAATCAACCATTTTTGAACTTTCTTTAGCAATAAATTGTAAACGAGACTTCAAGAAAAAAAAACAATATAAAAATCTCAGAAATTTTTTGACTAACGAGGGAACCCTTCCAACTGATTCTTGCCGATTTTGCTCATATTTTGCCCATATGTAGGGGTCAGTATACTAAGAAAAAGTCTAAGAGGATTTGAGCCCATGGTGCTTCTTTCGAAGGTTATAGCCATTTTACTGATTTTTCGACCTATGGCAAGGTAGTTACAAAAAATTCGAATGATGAAATTTTACCCATATGTAGCTCTCATGGTCCTTAATGTATGCTAAAATTTTCAGCAAAAATAAATGTCCCATTGCCGAGATAATGAATTTGCAATAAGTGTCTACATTTTATAGAGGACTCAGAAAAATTGAGTTTTCTTGGACATTCATTATCTCGGCAATGGGACATTTATTTTTGCTGAAACTTTTAGCATACATTAAGGACGATGAGAGCTACATATGAGCAAAATTTCGTCATTTGAATTTTTTGTAAATACCTTGCCATAGGCCGAAAAATCAGTAAAATGGCTATAACCTTCGAAAGAATCACCATGGGCTCAAATCCTCTTAGGCTTTTTCTTAGCATACTGACTCCTACATATGGGCAAAATCGACGTGAATCAATTGGAACGGTTCCCTCGCAAGTCTCTCTTATCTACAGTCTTCCGCTCATGTGTCAGTTATGAAATGAATTTGATAGAGAACTTTATTGGCTATTCAAATTATTATTTGAACAGCTCAAATATATATTGATTATTATTGTGCAGTAATCTTAATGCAAACATAGGTCTTACAGTGAAAGTTCGTACTCTTTTTCTATGATAGATATTATTCATTAAGTTTTATTTTCTTTCATTCAACTTACATCAATAGGTTCAAGTTTAAGTTGAATACTTTCAACATTAATATTTGATGTTTGTCGACGTTCATCAATTTCTGCATATTGTCTTTTTTTCTATTAAGAATATATAATTTTTTCTTTGTTTATAATTTCAACGAAAAAACAAAACATACTTGAATTAACATATCACGATATGTTTTTAAATGACCAATTTCTGCTCGACTAATTTTAACTGTTTGTAACTGAACAAAGAAAAGATATTTTTGTTTTTTTATAGATGAAAATATGTTCATTGAACAAACTTTTTCTGTTCGAATTTTTCGAATTAATTCAAGTGCTTTCATATATTTTGTTGCAGCAAATATATCATCAAATTTTGTTTTTAATTGTTTTCCTTCACTTAATGGCCTTAAAAAAATTATATATTTTAATAAATATCTATATTAAATATAATAGTTTTTGAACTAACCAATTTGATTCTTCTTGATGACAAAAAATAACATTTTCAAGTATAGCTGTCGATACACCAAATGCTGTAACCATTTCTTTATCAAGTTCAACACATTTTGATGTTATCTGTATTGGTTCACCATTAATACCTTCACGAATAATAACACCTTCAAGAGTTCTTAAACTAATATTTGTTTTCTATGAAAGAAGATTAGTTTTTTTTTCTTTTAAAAGAATCATTTTTATTTTTTGGTTTTTTTATCTTTTACTTTTTGTGTTGCAACAAGTGTACGTTGAACTTGTACATTATGTCCTGTAACATCTTGAAATAAAAGTCGAATTTGACCACGTACTTCTGTATCATGAGCTACTTTTGGATCATGTACAAATGCTCCTCCTGTTTTAGCACCTGGTGGCATTATACCTGTTGCCATATATTTTAAACATTCAATTATTGTTGTTTTACCCGATCCATTTGGACCGACAATAACTGTTAATGGAGAAAAAAATGTTATTACTTGAGTATCTTGATCTCGATTTCCAAAGCTACGTATGCCTTGAATAGACATTTTATGTAAACGAGACATGATTTAATTTTAATTTTTTCTTGAAGAGCAACAAAAAAAAAAGAGAAGAAGAATGACAACTGATAAAATTAATATTTAAAATGAAAAATAAAATCAATGTAATTGCACAACTGATCCAATGAAAAATAATTTTTGTACAAAAACCTTTTTTTTTTGCTTTTTGTAATATTTTATATATAGAAATTATTTAATGTTATTATTTGTACTTTATTTTTATTTGATAAAGATAATATGAGGTCGCTAATTAATACGAGCTTTATTCGCCCAATCAGAAATAGAAGACATTGTTAAGAGAGTCAATTCAATCACTAGACAAAATAAGATGATTTATCGGTAGTATGTAAGAATACTTTGTATTATAGAGTACATAAGAACATGATTCGTCAGATGTGACAAGAAATAAGTTACTTCTTTAAATAAATACAAAGGAATCGAACATCCGTCTCATTTATCTATTAACCCATATGAATAGACGTATTTTCGGTTCAGCTGCACTTTCGCTACACTCTCTACACTAATTTGTGTAAGCAATATGGCACATTAAAGAGTGTGGGTGCCACGGTGTAGCTAATCTGCAGTTGTACCGAAATCTTATACATTATGCTTTTCCAAGACAGGATGATAAAAATAAAAACTTATTTCTTTTCTAGATTAGTATTATTGTAAGAAATAATCATCATGGGAAGTAGATTATCTGCTGTAATAGATACAGTATATAATTCAAAACGACGAGAATTTCTTGGTAGAGATGGAGCTCGATGGGGTAAATTAAAATATTAATTAAAACATATATTTATTGATTTTTATAGGAAAATTAGGCATATTTTATTTTTTTTTCTACCTTGGTTTGGGTGCATTTTTTTGTACAATGTTAGCTGTATTTATGGCATTAACACCACGAGATCGTCCACGTTATCATGCAAAAACATCATGTATGCGTACTCGTTCAATACCTCTATCACCTGGTTTGTATTATTTGTATAAAAAAATAATTTTTAAATATTTTTAAAATTAATTTTAGGTTTAGGTTTTCGACCACAATTAGATATAGAAAAAAATCTTATTTTAATTGATAAAAATGCTTTTAGAATTGGATTAGATCCTTATGTTAAAAGTCTTAATCAATATTTGCGAGTTTGTAAGTAAAGATTTATTTAATAAGAATAACGAATCTTCCTTTTTTTTTTTAAAATCTAATATTAGACTATTGGAAACATGATAATATTGGATTTAATCAAACAAAAACATTTAAAATTTCTAATCCCGGTGATTGTACATCTCAAAATCAATATGGATATTCTAATGGAAAACCATGTATACTTGTTAAAATGAATAAAGTAAGAAAAAAAAAATATAAATAAGAAAAATAAATAAAATCCTATTTAATTATAGATTGTTGGTTTTATACCAAAACCAGGTTATTTATCAGAAGATAAACATGCATTTAAATCTGCTAGATGTCGATCGAATTCTAATGCTATTGCTGTTCATTGTTATGGAGAAGTAATTTATAATTATTTTCTATGAACAAAGAAAATCTTGTTTGTATTTTCTCTTATTTAGTATCCGGCTGATGCTGATAGTATTAAGAATATAACTTATATATCAGAAAATGGCTATGATAATAATTGTGGTTCACTTGAAACTAAATGGTTTCCTTATGAGTATGAATAATAAATTTTTTTTTGTCATGGTTCAATAGAGCTTATCGAGTTAACTTGTTTTTGTATAGTTAGAAAATAAAAACCAACACTTTAGTGATAAATCGACGAGCTCTATTGAATTATGTCAAGTCGATACTATATCAAAGGAAATATTTTTTAGGGGTAAAAAAGAACGTCAAGATATATATCAAGCACCATATATATGGGTACAATTTAATGAAGTTAAACCAAATGTATTAATCAATGTTATGTGTCGAATATTTGGTGCAAATATTAATTTTGATCGAAAATCATCTCGAGCTCTAACACGTTTTCAAATATATGTGAAAAATATACCAAAAAGTAAATTATCAGGTGAAATATGAATCAATTATTTTTTTTCTTATCAATGGGTTTCTTTCTCTATTAAACAATCAATATTCTTTCTATTTTCTATGTTTATCTTTTCTGTAATTTTTCGTATTGTATTAACATATAAATGATATTCACTTCAGATAATTAATAAACATTTTTTTTTTGTGGAATTGACATGTATTTTTGAAGAGAATAGTGAGTGTAAATTTTCAGTCGAAGTTTTGTGCCATCCGTACCCATTACAGTTCTTTACAAAAAATCATGATTTTTCTTCAATGGCTATTTCTTGAAATCAGAATTAAACCCAGTTTCTTGATGATAAGTTATTTGGTAACAAAACGGGAGCTTTCTTCTTCAATCCCAGTGGCTGAAATGCTTGGACTCATTCAAAATTAGCATTTTCTTTTTTGCATTTTAAAGTCTTCCTGAAAATTTGAATGGCATTTGTTACAATGCATCGAATATTTCAGTGGCATCATCGAATTCAATTCTACATAGTTGATTTTTAGTTTCGAAAACAAGAAGAAGTCATACACAGTTAAATCTAGAGAATAGAATGAATTCGGATATGGTTTCACGTGATTTTCGGCTAAAAATTTATTAGTAATTTAGGGTGTGTGTGATCTCACATTATCATCTTTAAAGATCAGATTTCGAAGGCTGATCCTTTTTCTTCATTCAAACGCAGTTTTGAAGACTAGTGACAAACAGATATTGACATCACAACTATCATCTAACATTCCATCAGTTTTTAATGTTATAGATTTTGTTAAACCAAATTTCATGAAGAAAATCGGTATCATTCTTTTGCTTGAACTTTTACTCCAATAGATTTTGGTTGGTCACGGATCAATTTTTGATTTCTCTCTTGTTTTTGGATTATAGTGATAGAAACATAATTTATCGTCAATAACGATGTTTAAAATAGAATAGGATCAATCTCCTCCGAATCGTTTGAATAATTGATAACAAAATTGAAGACAAAAATGCTTTCAATCATTGGTTAGTTGATGAGACACTCATCGAGCACAAACTTTGCGTAACTTCCAATAATTGTAAACTATTGAATAGACTGCTGACGAACCAACGTCCAAGATGCTTTTTAGTCTATACGTATGATGAGTGAGAATAATTCTCATTCTTGCTCAGATAATATTAATTATTTCTTCGTTGACAATGGTTTGAACACTTCGTGAATAGGCAGCATCTTCCATACTACAGAAATTCACGAATACATATACAATTTATAGTGTCATGAAGTCATATACTTCTTTTGTCAGGGTTTGGGTGAAGAGAAGAAATTTCAGCTCACACCCAAAATCCCATGCCCACACTTTCTTGCTTATCTCTTTCTTTCTATTTTCTATATGAGCCTGCGTTGTGGATGACCTAGTTACATTCTGACGATATGAAATAGCTGAATAACCATCATTAGCAAGGATAGCGGTAAGCTATTCTTCCAGTTTTTCGTTATAGTAGTTATAATTGAAACAAAATTACCTTTTACTTTTCTGATACAGTTATATATAGGAATGACTTTTCTCACTTATAATTATCATTCTGATAAAAATTATTTTTAGCTCTTCTTCGGCAGTAGCATCTTAGGACGCCTTTTTCTCAGTTGTAAGTGTAACTATCATTCAGATAAAGACAACGGTCACTTTCGATTGTTTCATTTTTCTGTTTTCGTACTACTTTGTTGTATTGGTAGTTTCTCTAATTCATTTCACACTTATATCCATTCTCTTATCACTATAATCTCTTGACTTTTTTAGTCGCATCTAAGAAAGAATGGTAGTTATATACAATGTTATCAATAAACTTGTCTCTTATATTCGCTACTTAAAGTGTTGTAATATTGTGAAGTAGATAAGACACATTAAATCTTTGATGAGAACAAAAGATGACACGATTTCTGGAAACTTTTCCTCCATTGTGTACATATGTTTATTCACGATCATATTAACATCGTGATTTCAACAATCACTTAAAAATAACATTGAAAGAGTTGAACGACAATATATGGAGTATCTTGGACTCTACAAGGACAGATTTAATGCTACAGTGTCAACAAAAATGTGTTAAACGAGTAGGTATCCCAGATTATTCATATGCAACAGTTACACTTCACTAGTGATGGTACGACAATAATTTTTAATAATTGTCTATTTCCTCTCCTTACATCATCTTTTTGTTCTGACTTTTCCGTTAAGATAATGTAACAATTTTTTTGGCAGACTAGTAGGTACACAATAATTATATTCTTTCTATTGCATTCAAAACTCATACTGATTAGGTAATCAGCTGATGAATGTTTATTAATAAATTATCTTTTATTTCATTCACTATTACCATCTGAAATGAAGCGCCATGATAAAGTTGAAACTATGTATTCCGATTTTATATTAAATGAATTTGTGAAGAAACCTTATGAAAATAATCGACTAATCAATACATTGTCAATGTATATGAATCTTGTTTGTATGATATGTGTAACAGTTATATCCATATAATCATTATAAGCAGTCTTTATTTATCACCTTTGGAATATAACTGTCATTATAAAATGTCAAAATCTGCTGTAATCAGTAATGACATAGCCCGAAAATCATCGATGACAAATTTATGAGTCACTATCTGTAAAAAAAATATATTTACAATAGTTTGAATATTTTTTTCAAGTCAAATACGATTCTTCCATCTTCTAGTTCCTAAAGAGAGACAAAATAATGTATCTATTCTAGAGTTTTCAATTAGATCAAATCACTTAGTGTGCTCTCGAAAATGGTGTAATATGCAAGCATTTTGTTAAGTTTTATTTCGCTAAAAATTCTTTCTGCTATGATCTTAGACTATGATTCCATTTGCATTAGAGTGTCATCAGGTTTTTGTTTTTTTTATAGTATGTAAACTAAAAGACAGACTGAATAGTGTCACGTTTCGATTCTTTAGCAATTTGTTCCATTTCACAATTATAGACGTTTAGTTTTTGAAATGTTATTTATAAAATAATTATCTAAACTTTATCGTACAGGTAACACTCAATCACACGTACCTCGGAGCCCTTATGTTGAGAACAAGAAAAAAAAGCTAAAAATGCTAACAGCACTTATTAGTTTTTTTCTTTTTTCCTGTGATGAGACAAAGATTGATGATGGAAAAGGAAACATTCGACATGACCTACTTCTAACTGTGTCATTAATAATCAGAAATAATTCGCGCATATATTTCTGCTCATTGACATTGAAGGTAACAGAGTAAGCAATAATTTGTTCGAATGTGTTTATGGATAATTAGGCTGATAGTGAAAAAGTAGAAATGTGCATATTTCTATGAAAATTAGAACAATTGTCATTTTTATTCTTTCGCAATTTATATTCTTATTTCTTTTCAAACAACAAAATCTAGACTCATTGATATCTCTTTTTTTGCATCTCTTTTGAAAATTAGAAACTACATGCGATGGCTTCGAATGAAAGTGGCACAATATCAATTGATTATACAAACACTTATATTCCTCGTGAAGTTCGATTTTGGATACTACTTCCTTTCAATATTATATCACTTGCATGTTCTCTCTTTCAACTTTATCATCTGCTTACGAAACGAGTTTTACGTATAGCATTAAATAACCATTCGATTATTGCTATTATTTTTGCTGGACTTTGTAGTCAACTCATTGATATGCCATTCTTTATCATTTATCTTCGTCTAGGTTATGTTTGGCCTCAAACATCAGGTTTTTGTCGTTTTTGGTGGTATGTCGATACGGAAGCTTTTGCATTGACGATCTTTCTCGTTATGTGGGCATCACTAGAAAGACATATTCTCATTTTTCATGAAAATTGGCTATTGACTTCAAAGAAACGATGGTTTCTTCATTATCTCCCGTTGATCCTTTTCATTATCTATCCGCTGTTATTTTATCTACTGATTTTGCTCTTAGTTATTTGTGATTATCCTCCTTCTTACGATTACACACAAGCGTGGTGTAACTATTCTCCTTACTGTTACAATGATGTATATCTTGTTCGATATGATATATCGGCAAATTGGTTGTCTTGCACAATTGCCACTTTTCTATCTGATGTTGCACCAGAGCTGGGCAACTCAACTCAAAATGGTGGTCAATTCGATTCAATTCATTGAAAGAAAACTTCAACTCAATTCAATTCAACTCATAGATACTATAAATTTTTTCTCAGCTCAATTCAATTCATGCATCTTGGAAAAAATATTCCAATTCAATTCAATTCAATTCATACATCTTGGAAAAATATTTCAATTCAATTCAACTCAATTCATGCTGATTGACAGTTTTATTAAAACTCAATTCATGTATCCTGAAAAACTTTTCCAATTCAATTCAACTCAATTCATGTATCTTGAAAATTGTTTCCAACTCAATTCCACTCAATTCAATGACTTCGAAAGTTTTTTCTGAATTCAATTCAATTCAACTCATCGAACACGAACTTTTTTTCAACTCAATTCAATTCAACTCTATTACTGAATTGAATTGAATTCAACTCACCTCGGTATTTCGTTTCCTTCACGTCTGACTTTAACTAGAGTTATCTACTGTAGAACGATTTGGACTATTTATTCAACAATATTGCCAGACTACAAGAGAAGGTCATAACTGAATCAAACAATAATGAACAAAAGAGGTATACAGTATAAGAGGTATGCGTTCCCAATAGATAACATACCAGTCAATAAACAAATGATTTGCATGATATTGCCCTATAAGACAGGGATAAATGGACATTGTATCTGTCACTTGAAAGAATAGGAAAACAAATCGACACGTTGAGAGCTTAGGTGCTTAAATTATACGTAACCATCAGAAAAGAAAAGAAAATAGTGATAAGTTGACTGAAGCGCATCAGAAATATACATCAAAATGCAAGTATAATGCAGCTATGTTGAAATAGAAGCTCGGAAGAAAAATTACAAAAATAGATCATAGTTCATGCCTTGATCTTTCATTAGTTTTAATGCGTAAATTGATCATACAACAACAGTTTCAGAAACATCTTTGAGTTGAATTGAATTGAAATGAATTTGCAAATCTCGAGAAAAATGCTTCAATTCAACTCGATTCAATTCAGTGATCTCCGAAGTTTTTTTTCAACTCAATTCAATTCAATTCACTCATCTCCAAAAAAGATATTCAATTCAACTCAATTCGATTCAGTGACCTCGAGATTTTTTTCAATTCAATTCAATTCAATTCAGTAGGCTCTGAAAATTTTTTCAATTCAACTCAATTCGATTCAGTGATCTCAGAATATCTTTTTCCAACTCAATTCAATTCAATTCCTTGATTAAGATTTTTTTCCCAACTCAATTCAATTCAATTCATAGATGTTTGAAAGTTTTGTCCAATTCAATTCAAAGCAATTAGTATATCTTTGAAAAATGCTTCAACTCAATTCAATTCAACTAGTAGACCCTGAAAAATTTTTGTCAACTCAATTCAACTAGGTTCATGAATTGAATTGAATTGAGTTGAGTTGGCCGTTTTTTGAATTGAGTTGCCCAGCTCTGTGTTGCACTTATCATACGAGTGTTATGGCATAAACATATTCGTCTCCGCCAACCAATTCGATGGCGAAAACATCGTAAAATGGTTATACAATTATTATCAGTTTCAATATTCACTTCAAGTTTATCAACACCACTTTTGATCTTTTATTTAATTCTATATTTTGGAAATTTATCAGTAAATATTGATCCTAAAGTACAATATTCTCTACTCTATTTACTTCTATTTTCAATTTTATCCTTACCATTTATTATGATTCTTTCACTTCCTCAAGAATATTGGTTGAGCAAATGGAAACGGATGTTCTGTAATAGACGACGAAGAATACAAATAGCAGTTGCTGCAACAATACCAAGTACAAGAGCATTGAGAACAGACCGACATTCAACACGCATAGTTCCAGTGAAAAGGTGACGAACATTATGATGACTTTGCTTTATATTCTTCTCTCTCACTATACACACCCTTATCGAACAATTCTTAATTCTACATGAAACAAAACATTATGATGATATCTTAAAAAATTCAAATATGACTGTTTCTGAATTCTGCTTATGAGTTAATAATCATTGTAATTCTAGTGTATGATCATCACATATTTAAAAACAGATATTCGAACTTATCACAGAAATATTTCATTGTAATAAATGAAAATATCTAGTTGTAAACATAGAAAACATTATTTTGTGATAGTTTCACCTAATCCACAAGAACATTAGTAGCGGTATGATATGTATAGCTAGTATTATGACTGAATGTGCTTGTATGACATAGTGCATGGAAGGACTCGAAACAGGCTACTTTTTCATGGTCTTGCCTGGTCCAAAGTAACCTAGGCAGTGTTTGAGTCCGCTCGAATCTGTAGATTATTTCCTTTACCAATAGTTTTTCCAAAACAATCTGGAGATCAATTCGTCAATCACTAATGTACTTGGAAGCAAATAATAAGCGTTACAATGGCTTCGATTCTGCCAAATGATAGACATTTAAATAAAACCCATACGAGATAATCACATTTGCATGTTGAGTTAACTAACTCAATAAACAAAACATGCTGATGAGCATTTGAATTCGATCGGCTAAAAAGCCTTTGGTAAAATGCTCATAGCTGCTAAGTGCTTCAAGCTAAAAATTTTGGCCTGGTATAGTTTTGTAGGCTCGCGATTGGCGGTTCGAATGTGCTCCAGATAATTGAAAATTCACCTCAACGATCTTACGCAAAGTGTTTGCGTTTGAAGAGCATTGCAGATAATTCATATAAAACTTGCCCAAAAAAAACATGCATTATATGGTTCGATGCGCCTTGGTCTCCTCTTTCCAACGGTGAAAGCCATAAGTGCCTGTCTCGTTCCTAGAGAAGGTTATTCAAAAAAAACACTCACCCCTCTTCTATTTAACGAACAATAGATCGTTGATAGGAAGGATGTTGTTCGAACAGGAAAATCAATCAGACACTAAAATCTCAGTGCAATTTATGATAGTACTATTGTTAAACAATAATACAGATCACTCGCAAAATTTGCCGTTCCTTATAACCAAATAGGTCTTATAATGAAATTAAAATTTTCGAATAACAAACTGCAAAAATGAAGCTCACTTTCCAATAATAGACGAATGAATGTTTTCGTTGAAAAAGCGTAAAAGAATTCTTTGGAGAATGCCATCGAGTCATACAAAACCGTTAAAATAACTCGAGGGTTGAATGTTTCTTGAAAGATGAACCACACCCGAGCCAAGAAATGCCCGTTCATATCTCTTTCCTACCGAGAAGTACATATCAAGTTATTATGAGAACATTCTATAATGATATTACAACTTTCTTTTTTATGATATTATACGCAAAATCACCTCCCAATTTAATGGTTTTAACTAGAACGAAATGCTTTGATCAGTGAATCAAAAAGAAAGTGATATTCTGTTCAGTTACTTGAAGTATTCAAGTCCATTGATCGTAGTGCTCACATGGCAGCAAACTATTGCAGTCGGATAAAATCCATTACTTTCTTCTCATTTTCATGAATCTTTTGAATTTTGATGATGATTCCCGTTTATCACTCATCCATAATCGTACACTATGATCAGTTATTGTACTGGTAAAATGTCGGTCATGTCTTAATCGTCGACTATTTCGAATGAGCCATTGACGTGTTACTTGCTGCCGTTTCCAACAACACCATTTGTTAACAGTAACATTGAAACGAAAATACGCGTCGGATAAATATTTCAATCGGTCGATAAACATAAATAACACTCGTGACGATTCAACTGATATGCTCAAACATTCTAATCGAGGAAATGCTGTGCATATCTGCTCCGGATTAAATGATGATGATATATTGTGCTCGAAACTAAAACGTAAAATTCGTATTTGTTCATAGACAACTTTGTCATGTAGAATATCAGATGATAACGAATTACAGATATTCAGTGAGTATAGATGTGGTTTATCTTCGAGTAAAGTCTGTAAATCAAACTTATTTTCAGCTTGTGTATTCTGGTTATTGGACAACAAATTTAGATGTTCGATGTAATTATTGGGTTTGAAAATATCAATAGTACAGTCTTCTATGGTATTGTTCGATGGCCATTCTAAGTCTTTCGGCATGAAGCGAGGAACAGTGAAAATAGTTGGTGGCTTGTGGTTATCATGAGCAACAAACCATCGCTTCTGTTCGAGCCAGAATGGTGTTCGGAACGAAGTAAGATAGTTGATTTTCGCAGTAGGACATGCCGACCAATATACAACACGAAATCGAAAATCAAATCGAATGAGATTAACAGCAATAGTTTCCCATTGACGACTGTCGACTAAACCGACTTCACACGGAATATCAAGTTCTACATATTTCACATATGGCATAGCATGTAACATATTTCTTATTTCAGTGAATGTCATTGTACCGTTATCAACTCTGAGAGAAAATTGACGAAGTTTTGATAAGGTCTCTACATTTGTGGGCCAACGGGGATTACCATAGTCGACCATAGTAATGTTTAAAGAACGTATATGACTTATGCTCTTGAACAAATGCCTGATTTCTGTACAATGACATCGTGTTAATATTAAGTGCTGTAAATGATCTAAGGAGTGCTCGAAGAAATAATCATCGGTTACTAGTCGACGAAGTCGCGGTACTATTGATCGAATGAATGGTCTGAAAGCTCCAGAATGCCATAGACGACTGGGTAAATGCAATGAAGATAAGTACTTAAGTTGTAAAAGACTTCTCAATTGTTCAAAAATATCTTCAATGAACGAATCGATTTCGAATGATCGAAGATTAACAAATTGCTCGATAGTAAAATATGAGAAGAAAAGAATACATTGATCAGGAGTATTTTCCTTATCAGAGAGTGATAGCGAAATGACTTGATCTGGTCGAATGAGACGACAAATAAGATCGAATTGTGTCTTGCGAACCGACCGAAAGTTGATTAAAAAGCGATCATAGCTTCTCAAAACAGCACGAAGATAATTACTAATATTTAAAAAAGCATAAATAATTTCATGTGCCCAGAGATAGCCAAAAATTTCATAGATTAATTCGACAGGAAACTGGTCGAAAAAATTCGACGACATAATGATGTAAAATACTTGCACAAAAATATGTAATTCTTTTTTTTTTTATGGCTTCTTCTCAGTATACTCGTTCTTTTCTCTTGCATAAATATCTTTTTCAACGTTACTCATAGCTTATAAAGTGACTCACCAGTACTTTTATTTTCTTTTCCTTCATGAAAAAATGCGAGAAGCTGCGTCTCTCGTCACAGGGTGTTATTTATTGTCGTGCATGTGTTCTCATATTTTTTTAAATTCAAGTTATTTGAATAGAATATAATCTTGAGTGTCAAATTTTCGTCGTTTAAAGTTTGAAAAATATTTACTCATCACACTTTTAATAAAACTTATGCTTTCAGTTTTATTTTTCACAAGCTGCAATTTTTAGAATTTCGTCAAGCATAATTGTTTTTATAACATAGAATGAAACATCGAATGGAGACAAACCAATTGAGACGCAAAGTATTTATATCCAAAAATAGGATGAGGATAGGTTGTGGATGACCTTTAACCTTACATACCACACTCTTGTTACGGTTAGTCTACAGTTGTTAGAGTTTTCTTGAGTGTTCGAATTCGATACATATGGGTATTGGTCTTCAATGCAGCACCACCAACACTCCCCCCCCCCCTTTCCACAATCATACTAACAGATTTCGTCCTTGCTCAAAGGACTTACGATGTAGCTGATGTTCAGCGGAGCAGTTAAGAGTAATACGATAGGAGTGATATCATGGAGACTCTAGTATTTCAATGGAAGTGGATGTCGATCATGATCATTAATCGTGTTTTAACGTTTATTAGCTTTATTCTCAGTCTATATTTCAGCTTTTCCTGATAAGAAAAAAGTATCAAAATATTCGTCCAAACGCTGCTCTTTCGAGTCTACAAACATATGCTCCGGTTAGTAAATATGTCATTTCGAGGTCGTTCTCTAATCAATACAGAACTAAGCATAACAGTTTTTTTTAATTTGACTACTTTTAAATAATAACTCAGCAGGACCATTACGATACACTTTTTTTGCTGTTTTTTTTTGTCCTTCGCAAACGCTAGCATATGCATTTTATGTGCAATAATGCACATAGTTATTCACCCGTACATTTAATCAAGAGGTCGTGCTATTTATTCACCATAAACAATCATTGAATACGTTTCTATCAAGCAAGAGCAAGCACAATCTATTTTCATTACCTGTCTTTTTTTCTTGTCATCGGTAAGAAAGTGTTCCTTGTGAAGAAAAATGATTTCAAATTTGAAAAAAAAAATTTTTAATCAATTTAGTGTGATTAAAATCGATAGAATTATAAGTCAGTTTTGTTTGTTTAACATTTATTATAAGCGATTTCTTGATGATTATTCAATCGTTTTTCATCAAAATTAATCAGAATAATTGATTTCTCGTATCGCTTAGAGCAAATAAGTCTTTCATGCGCGACAATAATACGAGGGCGCTGAGCCCATACAAACTTTAAAAATTTTTCATTTTTTTTTCGGTAAAATTCCAGCATTTTATTCATAACAACACAAATCTAAATTTCGTCGAAAACCAAAGCTATGAAGCGAATTGAAAGCGAAAACTGGAAGAAGTGCATAAATGTGTACGGGAAAAGCATACCTTATTTTCAACATAGAGAGAGATCATAGTCTAATTTAAAAATTTCAATTGGGGCAAAAAAAAAACACAGAATTGACAAGGCTTTCATAGCGTAACTTCAATAGCTCTTATAATAGTTGTTTTACGAAAATTCTCTTTCAGCTTTTAGACTAGATAACTCGATAAGTTCTTTAATAAAGAATTCAATCAAGATCCTTTAAAAAAAAGTAGATAGAGTGAATTGTAAAATGGAGAGTTTTATCGAAAATCTCATTTGATATCATTGAAAGTGGTTCGTTCAAAAAACTCGTATAGAGAACTTCGATTCAAATATTGTTTTTCTTCAATATTAACATATTAACGAAAAAGTCTTCCTTAAAGCTACATCATTTCTACATATTGGTACAAGTACTGATAATGTTGTATTAATAGTGGTTCATGAGTTTCGGATTGAACCGAAAATGTTTCGTATTTGTGCTCTCCTTCATATAGTTTTTACTATGGGATTGTTCGGATATCGCTTTAGATACAGAATATTTGAAAAGTCTTCAAATGCAATAAACTTAGTTTATATGCAGATAGAATATAAATTCTAACCGAATGTTATTATATGAACCTCGAGTGCTCGTGATAATCTTTCAAATGACATATTATTAAATGATATCTTCTCTTGTAATTATAAAAATATAAACATGAGAATATGAGGATAAATTTCTCGAAATCGATCAACATGAAATTCTATTAAAACTTCAAGTAATTACTTGCTGTGAGATTTTAATTTCTTTAATAAATAAGTAAGATTAAGTTAAATTTCTTTATAGTATTAATCTTTAAATGGCTTCTGATGATGACAAAAACAAGCAGTCAAATATATCTGACAATTATCGATCATATATTCAACAACCACTACCGCCTTCTAGTATGCGCCAACGCGACTTCCAAGCATCTGCGAACGTACGACAAGAAGCATGTCGACCACGCATCGATTCGCTAGAAGTAAAATTATCAAAAAAAAACTTGACAGATAAAGATGTACAATGTATGATTGAAAAAGAAGAAATTTCTGTGCGCAGTACTATGATCGATTTGGATGGAAACAAAATAACAGATCATGGAGCTTCGATTCTTGCTGATTTGTTCAAAAAGAGTGAGGTTAGACACTTATACTGAAAATAACTTTATCTATCCATAATCATATTTCTCACATATCACTGCGTCAATAAACACTATTTCAAATAAGTATTACAAATGTAATAATATTATGTAATGTGTTCAAACTCTGATTTTTATCATACTAAAAGTAAACAGTTTATAATGTTCAGTATTTCGATCTTATAAGACTGTTTTCTAATATTGGAACATCAGTTCATAATTATGTGTAACGTACAGCGATGCAGAGTTTTACATCGTTTCTTATTCTCTATTCTCTCCTATTTGTATGTTCTTTTTTCGATTTTCAGACACTGACTACAGTGAATCTTAGTGAAAACCAAATCGGAGACCAAGGAGTACAATATCTTGCTGATGCCATACGAACAAACGAGGTAGTCTTTATGTTTCCTTCATCATTTAACATTGATTAGTTCTTTTTTTTTTGTGCAGACATTGGATAAACTATCCCTTTCAAATAACGACATCGGAAATGACGGTGTAAAATATCTTGCTGATGCTTTGCAAGTTAATATGGTGATTGGCAGATGTTATTGTTTCGCTTCTAGATGTATCTATTTCTGAATATAGACACTCACTACACTAAATCTTTCGGATAATAAGATCGATGACGAAGGAGCACGATATCTTGCTGAAGCATTACTACATAACATGGTAATACGCTCTTTCCGATTATCTATATAGCCTTTGTCTACTCTTATACATACAGACACTGTATTCCCTTGATCTTTCCTCGAATCAAATCGGAAATACAGGTGCTAAGTATCTTGCTGATGCCTTACCTAAAAATAAGGTAATTACCATTTGAGATTAGTTTTTCTAATCTATCTTATACTCTCATTGGTACAGATACTTTATGACATTGTTCTCAGTCACAATCGAATAGGAGATGAAGGTGTGGAGCTTCTTGAACAAGCCGTAATGAAAAGTAGAGTAAGTATTATTTTCTTTAAAACTATAAATGTCTGTATCTTTTTTTATTATGAGAAGATTATTAAAAAGCAAGGATTGCAACGCGTTTATCCGTTAACTTGTTCGATGTGACCAATGAACGATTTAATGCTTCTTTTTCTGAACGATATTAATTTATTAGTTAGTATCTATAATAGGTTTTATGATGCTACATAAAAGTATTTGGTTGAAATAAAAAATACTAAAATCTTCTTCGTTTTGTCCTTTGATTTGTGATTGATTTTTTTGTTATGGCAAAAAGATTCGATTCGATTTCGATTAACTATTTAGACAAAATGAATTTTTTATTGAAATCTTGCATATTATGTGATTCAATAAATTCTAACTTATTACAGATGTCATGATAAAATTAAGAAAAATTTATTCTGTTTGGTTAGATATTTCATATTAAAAGAAAATCTTATTGAGCTCTCTCCCAAACGGTATTAGTAGTGCTCACCTACACCTAGTGAAACCCGTAAATCACATACTCAATGACTAAAAAATAACTTTGATCTCGTATTCGTAAAAGATAGTTACTCTTCAACTCTAACCTGCAAAGTATTAATGAAAGATGACTGAAGTGAATTGTTTAGATCGAACATTCGTCGTGCATACTATATGAGCGTTGACTAAATCGCTTTGACACGGTCGTTCTTTTAGTACAAACGAAGATCTTTCGATGTATAAAAGTTTTTCAAAACTGACGATGTGCAGAAAGATTCACAAAAACTAGTTTATCACTCAGCCAATATATACTTATAGTGTGCACTTTGGAATAGATTTCTATCTTAAAAACTTAACTTCCATGACAATTTTTCCAATAAAGGTGAAAAATTCTTAAATAAATAGTTCATCTATTTTTCGGTGAAATTGGCCTAAAGTCAGCAAAAAGTGGATGTTTTTGGCTCACACTTGAGGTTCCCGACTGTGAGCCAAAAACGCCCATTTATCGCCCCTTTTGTGCGTTTAAACGCGTTTTCAGACAAAAAACGCATTTACACGTATACAAAAAAGAGAAAAAGTGGTCGTTTTTTCCTACTTGGGATGCACGATCATGATTACGGTCACATTTCTTGAACTAGAAAAACTCAACAACTTTTTTCTCTTTTTTGTATGCGTGTAAACGCGTTTAAACGCACAAAAAGGGCGATAAATGGGCGTTTTTGGCTCACAGTCGGCAACTTCAAGTGTGAGCCAAAAACGTCCACTTTTTGCTGATTTTAGGCCAATTTCTGTGCGTTTAAACGCGTTTTCTCAAAAGTTTGTCTGCCTGGGAGTATGTGTTGTGTGCTTTATGTGTCATGAAAAATAGAAGAAAGAATATTCCGTCATAAATCTTTTTATTTTGTTCGTTGTGCACAAAACAGTTTTTTTTCACATACGGCAAAAATGGCTTTTTACTTATATGAAGGATCAACCCAAGATCGTCTTCAAACGAATAGAATGCAAGCGTGAACATATTCCTAATCAAGTCAATTCAGAAACAATTTGAATCACTTTAGCAGTATGGTGTGGATATCTATGTAGGCGTCAATAGGTGATAGTGCAGAGAACACTTACATCCTTGCTATGTGATATTATAAAAAGAGAAAGAAAAAATGAGATGAATCAGATGAGAAAATGCTTCTTATACGATTAATCGCTGTTTTTAATCACTTGATAAATAATTGTCGACCACATCAGAATACAAAACAAGCACTTCTTTCTTGCATTCACACGTATGCAGCTCGACCAAAAACCTCTCTTTTTTACACAGAAAAGAGAAAATAGACTATCATTTCGTGGTCTCACGTCTTTTATATGAGATCTGTGTGAAAATTTCAGAGAACATGATCCTAGTACACTCAAAAAAAACTCCGTTTTCTTGTAATCCTATAGAGAGTCTCCAAGATTTCGAAAACCGTTTATAATCTGCCTAAGAAGTAATCGGCAATTTAAGACCACTTTGACTCTTTTTGAAAAGCCATTTTGGTCAGTGCACATGCAAATCACATGAATTTTTTCATGATTTGTTAGAGCTGTAGTGAAGAGACTATGTTAAAATTTTTTGCGCTACACTGTTACTTCTGAGAGAGATAATTATTCACCACACAAGGGTCAAGAATCGCTGATCTAGTAATCCAAAGTTCCCTGTACACCTTGGTTCTATACTTAATATTTTTCTTTTGCAAGAACACGCCAGCATGCAGGGCATGACAGAATCTTTTTCTTTAAATTCTTCCTTTTCATTCAGAACAAAAGTAATTAGACGTTCAATAACCTAGAAGCTTGAAAAAACTTTGAGAAACGGTAGATTTTTCGGACTTTGAAAAAAAATTTTTTGAGTTGTTAAACATCTGATTACTTTTCTCTGACGGTAAGTGTCTATGAGTGATGTATACACTATTTTTTTATATGTAAAATCTTAATATCATATAGCAAGGACATGAGAACAAGAATAGCTGTATACTGTGCAGTGGTGGGTAAGATAAATAATAATTCAGATTGTATTGGATTGTTTATATAAAAAAAATGAAATCGTCCGAAATATTACGTAAACAGTATCTATTACTTATTACTAGACCTTGAAATGAACTGTTCAGACAAGAACTTGACTTGTATTTTCAACAAAGGTTTCGTAGATAACAGAACTGAGATTAAAATCTGATTTTAAGTGACTGAAAATGTATTAGTTGTAGTTGACAAAAGTTTGATTTTTCAATTCGAACATACATCTCTCTTGACATTAATCTGTTTTAATCGATTTGTTCATAGAAAAGTTTCAATTGTTAAAATTTTATTAATCGAACAAAAACACTAAAACTAAATTCAATTGAAATAATCTTTACAGGTAAAGAATCCGAATCCACATACATCTTTCAAGAGAATAGTGCGTGAAATATATAATTAAGATTTTCTCAGTTCGAGTCTAGGTCCTAGTAACGTAAAAGGCGCGTGATTAATAATAGTGTTTAGATTGATCTGGATCTTTCTAGAATCTTCCAAAGGATTCTATGAATCTAAGCTTTCTATTGCAGATGTTGGTTCGTCTAAATATCGTCGATTTCCGAATTTCATGCAACAAAAGAGTCTTGTTTTAAATGTTAATCCATACGGCGGTGACGTTATTGATCTAGTAGAGTCATAATAAGACTGACTTGCAAAAGAACGAACTATTTGAATAGGAAGATTCGGCAAAATAGATCTATATGTATCATAGTTGGTTGGAAAAAAAGATCGTGTTTGACGGAAGCTGACTCAATAATAAAATTCATGTGTGACACATTTTAATTTAGCGTTTAAACCGACGAAGAAAATGATAAAATCATATTCTCTACTTTCTATGACATTTATCATACAGAGTGTCATTAGTATAAAAAACATGATGCATTGAACATGTAACTGGCAACATAACAAAAAAAACTTCAGAGAAAGAATGATATCATTTGGCTCATTCCATGATCAGTAATAAAACAAAAGAGATTATTACAAAGTCTACAAAAAAACAAACTAGCAATTCTGATTTTACTTAGTGCCTTGCTGCTTCTAAAATCTGATTAATATCACTAGGAATACAGTTGCTTGTTGTCAATTATGCTTGAGTGAAATGAAATATTGAATGATAGTTCATACTTCTCTTCAAAATTCATTCCTTACTTCATCATATGTTTCATCATCATTTATAGATTGACTTTTATTATAGATGCATTCTTGTATTACAATAACATCGCTTTCCATTACTGTGACCTGTTCTCATGGACAATAAATTGCTCAATGATCATCAAAATGGATTTCAGACCTATGCTTTTATTTAACTTGGTAGTTTGAAAAAGCAAGAGAAAAATGGTTGCGTATAGGTTCGTAAAGATGGAAGAGAGATTCATTATTCACAGACTATTTTTTGTTTTAATTTGAATTTGAATCGATCGAAAGTAGGAGGACGAGCACTTTCTTCCTATGAAAGTCCCTGAACTTCTAAGAAAGGAAATAAATGATTGAAAAGAGCAACAGTCGATTCGACCAGTGTTTTCGATGGTCGATATGTGCCTGAATTGTTGTTCAGTCGAAAACCTTCGTCGTCATCACGCCAGAATTCACCTGCAAATCGTATATCTACTGAGTGATCAGTTAATGTGATGTGTTTGCATAGAAGATAATAGGGTAACTTATAAGTCTGTGGAATGCGAGCAAGAATAATTCGATCACCAAGAATGACCATATTGCAGCGTACCATGCTCATCTGTTTCGGTAACAACTGCTCGAAGAAATCAGCTTCTGATACGAAGGAAGAAAGATTCTGCATTTCGCCACTGAGTTGAGAACGTGACGTGAATATCATTGGTTTCGAATAAATGAAGTCACGTTTTATTCGATCCGTAATTGTAATAGGCGTCGGAAAGGCATGTAAAACATATGGAAGGTACGTATTAATGATATCTGAAGATATAACTAGTTGAAAGATTACTTGTTCACCATATGCAATTTTTATGATTCGACCGAGATATGATGGCATCACTTTGTACAATACCACCTCTTCTTTCTGATCGACGCACGCTTCCTGTGAGTAAATTGATAATGATGTTTGAAACATATCTAAAGAGTACTTTGTGCTGAAAAGGAAAGAAAATAATAACAACCAAATTTATCTTGTATCATAAAGATCAAGAATTCCTAGAACACAATTTAATCGAATAAATTGAAGAATAATATCATCGCACGAGCTATCTGCTATGCTAAACATCGACTAGTATTCAAGAAAAACCGTATTTCATTTTGTTCTTATCTTCATCATTGAAAGTTGGTATGTGTGTAGTGAAAAGTCTTGATGAAACAGTATTAGACTACTTTTGTTCCAGTATAAAATTATTACGTAGTTTTCAGGTGTGGGTCTGAATCTCGTGTTTTCTTTCACGCTTATATCAGCCTCAAAAACATGTTGAATATGATAGTCTAGCTGTTCCCACTGTCAATAGTTTGTATGAGTGTGAAAAGACACTCTACTTGACTTTCTTTATGTTTTCATCAACACCCATCATTGAAAAATACAATAAAGAAACAATCTTAGCTGAAAGAGATGTGAAGAGCTATTGTCGACATGGTTGTTCACTGTAAAAAAAGTGAAAAAATATTGACTCAATAAATGCTTTTCTTTTTAAGTCTTTTATTGGTGTTTCTAAGCGTAAGAGAAAATAAAATAAAATCACTCATTTAATTAGCAAAAAAAGTTCTGCGTGTGGAATCTCAAAGAATCATGTACATTTTTGCTTCTGTCCACAGCAAAAAAAAACTCTTGTCTAATCCGATTGACCAATCATCCATGTATAACGCAGTATAATTAGAGAACGAATTCGGAGGAATCCATTGAAAGCTAACTAATACATCCTATTTTTTCTGTTCGAAAAAGTTTTTTTGAATAATATCAATGTATTGAATTACGAAAACACATTGAATAATCATGAAACATCATGAAATCAAGTCTTAGTAATATCGTGTCTATTGTCGTTGCCTTTCTCCACCAAATTCCACGTCATAGAAGAAAAGTATTTTGACGGCACGAATCACAATAGTATGTTCACCAATCAAAGCGATATTATGCAATGGTCCATGAAGAAGGTCAATTTTGTCAATCACTCCATCCTGTTCATTGAGAATAAAAACTAAATTATTATCCACATTCAACAAAGCCCAATAACCGTCAGGTAATGGAGTCATACGTGAGAAAATACCAGAGTCTGTATCAAGAACAATAGTATGTAACGTATTAAGAGTGAGATCACGAAGTTCGAAACGAAATTTTCGATTGAGTGGATTATTTTCATCTTGAATACTCAAAGCAAGTTGATCCTTTGAGTTCAGTCGAATACATGTGATAAATTCATTTGCATGACACGTCATAGGACTTGACCATCGTTGCTGAAAACTCCAAGAACTAATCTGAATTAATTCAATAGCACTCTCTTGACACCAATAGGATATAAATAGACGATCATTTCTACAAGTACATCGACGAAAAGTATTCGATTGATAAGGTGTTATTCGAGTGATTTCTTGAAAAACTTGATTTACTGGATCGAAAAGAATGAGTTTTCTATCGAGTAGAATAAAGAATTGTCGTAGATCATAATTCCATTGAATATCACGAATCTAGTTAGATAGTGGAAGCATAATATTTTCCCGACGAACTTATCCAAAAAAAAACGATAGCAATTTGTCTGGTCTCACATTCATTGAACTACGTCAATTCATTTATCAATCCATATACATATTAGAAGTTCATGTTATATCTTGCGTAAAAAAAGTTTTCTCACTACTAGTTAATCTATTGACTCTGGGATGTAACTTATTCAAACCAATGTAGAGTAATGGTCGATATATTTTTGAGTTGAAATCGATTATAGATTAAATATGAAGGATATCAATTAGATTATTTATTGTTGTAATTTTTACTGCCAATAAAACATATTTTCGCCGAAGTTTTTCGTTCAATGGTGAGCTAACCAGTCTAAAATATAGATATCTACTAACTCCTTCTGCAAACATATGTTAACACTCAAATAAAGTTCACTTAGTACTCGCTAATACGTCAACTGAGTGTTGTTCCGCATTCCGTGACTAATTGTTTTCTTTGACTTTTGACTGCCGAGTCTATAGCTGGCATACATTCTAAATCGTACATAGAAACTTCTACAATAGTTTTTTGTTACCACAGAAGACAATTTATGTTTCTGAACTTCGTAAGGAATAGAGAACACATATGTATTTTGACAATGTTTCTTATTATACTGTATAAAACACTTACCACCACATCATAGTGCCATGTCATCGAAATATCTCGTCTACCATGTCGATCAAACAATGTCAATTGTTTATTTTCATATTCTTGTGCAAGTAAATATTCATCGGAGGCACCTATTGCCCAATAGTTGCTCACAGAGCTTTTTGCTAGAGGTTTCTGGAAGAGCCGTTTTCCTAATATTGTCTGAGGCATGTCAACACCGCAAATGGATGATACTTCCTTCCATGGCTCTGACGAGAAACTTTCTCTTCTTGGGTTTGCCGTTTCGATTTCCAATGTAGATCTTCGATCAAAATGCTGTATGATATGTATATTTTCCAATGAATGACCATACTCATTTTGTAATTTTTCCAATCCAATTAATTGAGCATCTCGATTTATTGATTTGCTGTCTGCAATAGTTGATGATTCTTCCTCAAAATGCGATCGATAATGTTTTATATGATTTTCGAGTGTTCTTCTAGCAAAGTCGGCTGATTGACGAGTACCTTCAATTGCTTGGTGTTCCCAGTTGTCGATATTTGAACGAATTTTGTTTTCAAGGTGCTCGAATTCGATCAAACATTTAGATAAAGGCTGCTGATGATCACGAGCATCATCCACGTATTTTTCATAGGTTTGACGATGTTCACAAAAATGATTCCAACAAAAGTGGTGATTACAAGCGACACAGATGGCCACAGATGGCATATTACAAGGTAAATGACAGGATACGCTGCCAGATATCTCTTTCGTCATCAATCAATTATACGAAGGTGAATTCAATGTAAGACAAATCAATTACTACATTGTAAAAAGACAGTCCATAGAATAATAAGCCTATAAAGGATTTATGAAAGTGCCTCGTATCAAAAGCTGTTTTTCACCGTTTGTGAAATATTCGTAAAGCCTTTTATAAGCCCTTTAGAAAGAGTATATGACAAGGTTTATAGCCTTTCAATACCATTCGTGAACGATTTATGAAAGAGCATATGATATTCATAAGTCCTTAAAGGGTTTACTATACATTACAATTTCACAAAACCTTTGCATAAGATTACATGAACTTCTTCACTACTTTTAAATTATATAATGTTTACGAGAGACTTATCGAAACGATTTTTTAATTACCAAATCGGTTGACAATTCCATGGCACTTAACCGTTGTTTGAACGGAACGACACAAAGAAATTGAATCTGCTCATTCTACTCGTCTCACAACATGTTACAAAAAAAAATAAAAACATTTGAATGAACAAGAAGAAAAGAAAAAAGTAAATTATCTTCTTTAGTTTTGGTCATAAAACGTTCGGCAACTTTTAGTAGAAATTAATGAAGACGAAGAAAATTGCAGTAAAATAAGTTATCGAGTCTTCTCCAAAGATAGCGGAAAACTATCACGATAACTAAACCAAGAAAAATATAAGTAAAGTGATCTCTATTAATATATTTTCGCCCATCAAAAGACTAATTAACTATCTAGAAAACGAATGATGGAAATAAAATAAATGTAAACGAACTTATTCCATTTTTCTTATTAGATACTTCTCGGCTATAAGCAAAACAAAATACAGAATAAAGAAGCACACAGAACTACATGATTTGATTTCTTTTATAAGACCGTGAACAACTATGACTATATCCAAAGGAAAATTGAACTACACTAACTCATTCGATTTTTTTCAATAAAATGCTGGACAATTATGAAAATAACTAAATCTCAAGAAAAGTGAAGTTACTATTCTTATTCGATTTCTCTCATAAAGTGCACGCCAACAATCGGAAAACTAAAGGAAGGAAAATGAAGTGAGAGTAAATGTAACCTGTACGCTTTGTCTCGTAAAAATGGTCGGCAGCTATCGGAATAACTAAGTTAAGACAAGAAAAGTAAATTTATTTTTCTTATTCTATTTCTCTTCTAAAGTGAGCGGTAATAATCGGAAAAACTAAACTAACTTCGTCAGTTTCTCTTTTACAATGCAGAAAAACTATCGGCGTCAAATATTAGAGGAAAATAAAAGTAAAATAACTTACTATTTTTCTTTTGCACAAGTTATGTGAAGAAAAAGAAATGTTAACTAAAATACCTTATCCGATTTGTGGTATGATATTATTAAAAATTGCAGGAATAACTAATTAAGAAAAATAAAATAAAACTAAATAGTCTTGTTCTATTTCTCTCATGAGACGCTGGACAGCTATTAGGATGGATACAGCATATAAACAACATAAAATAATCTACCATTGTGCTTAAAATAAAAAATCCTTCCGAAGAAAACGCTTCAGATGAAAATGTAGACTAATGTGCATCGGGGTGAAGAATAATAAATTCTTTTTCTCAACACGTAGAACATTCTATCATATTACGCAGAATAGTGAACCCTTTGGCTAAAGTCGTAGAATAACTTACCCTTATGCGAAGAAGAATGAATTCCCCGAATGGAAACGTTGAATAATAAATCCTTGAATATAAGTCGTATGCCCTTATTTTTTTCATACATCCTTACTGTTACAAATCTTTCGGGTCATAAACCTTTGAAAAGAATATGAAATCGGCATTAAACCTTCAAGAGTTGATTATTCTGCGTTGTTATTTAGAAAATTTTTCAGTTTTTCTAGGACGAGGTCTAATTCGCATATTCGGCTAAAATAATCAAATCTACTACTAACTTTACAGACGTTATTCAGATAGTGGACCCTTCGTTACTCCATTCGATTCTGACGATGCAATAAACAAAATAGAATAAAGCCAGTTTTGTTCTCGTTAAAAAGAGGAACCATTAGTCATCGGTTAACTGCATTTATGCCCATTAAAAATGTGAATGGAGCTGTCGAAATGAAAGATTTTCGACACGATCATCAAGAGAAAAGCAAACGACTTTCAGCTGTCTCTGAAAACGCCAAAATGTACAAATAAATAACGTTGATTTCGCGAGAATGTTTTACCTGCAAGCCTATTTTAGATATGAACATATTTAGCAACTCCAATTTCAATTTCAATTTTGTGCGTTCAAAATATATTCTTCCCCTTAATTCCTCTCTGTATCGGAAAAACAAATGACCTTAGAAATATCATAAATGAACAAGCAAAATAGTTCGCTTCAATTATCGTCGCTCTCGTCATGAAGGTGTTTGACATTGATATTAAAGTAATGCATCTCTCTCACGTTATTGCACGACATAAGTTATGATCTCGCATGAGACTTTACTTGTTTATCATCACTGCTTTCATATTTAGCTGTCAGCGCTTTCCACCGTTAAGGATCGATCATTTTTAATTTTTGCTACGTTGAACAAATATTTGTTCACAAAGTTAAGTCTGTTTTATCTTCCGCATCGTTGGATGCAGTTGTACAAGAAATCATAAACTTCTATTATATAATCACGTGCGATGAATTCATCGACAATCTTACATTCTGTTACAACCCCTTATTCATGGGCTATCCTGAAAGCATTGCTGTTCGATTCTGTGATGCGTTTTTGATAATTAATAAAAGCATTCTATACTGTCAATCGAGAACACATACTTTCTTTGAGTGAAAGATACTTGAGAACGACCATATCTCAAGTAAGAAATTAAATCAGTATTCGGCGTTTGATATTAAACTGATACACAGGACAAATTGGTTTAACTATCGTTAGTATTTAAAGTTGACTATACCTTGAAATATTGTCGATCAATCATAAAAGATCATTTTTGAAAATGTCTATGGATGATTAACTTTTCTGACTATTCTCAGAGAATGTTCTTTTATTAGATTTGAAGGGACTGTATAAAAGCCACAAATTGACGTTTTGCATCTTAAAAAACTCTGGTGAAAAGCATTGTGTTGAGTTTGTAGGTGATCACTTTAGAAAGAGCGAAGAATCTCATACATGACTTTGCTTGAAATAAAGATGTTGTGTTGAGAAAAAACATCTATCTTTGTTATTTTCTATCTATGAATTAGATGATAGAATAAAGATTTATACATTGTTATCAATTTAATACTTCAAGAAAATGTACAAGAATCGTTCATAGTTTATGAAGGTCGAATACGAAACCATGCAGTGAATAGAAATAAAAGATGCAACGATGAGCGAACGAACAAGATGTTCTGATCACCAATATACTACTTAAGATTCACTAAATTCTTTAGAGTAATTTTATTATCGATACTTGAGACATTTATCAAAGGATAGTCAATTGATTCCACAATTGCTCCATAGGTTAATCGGCGGGTTATCCATCGACGACGACCAACATTGACTCGACTTCATTTCTAAGTACAATGACAACTACCATCTCAGAAACTAGTGAGTCTCCAAACTACGACACACCGAACTGTAAAGACGATCGTTCATTCGATACACACAGTGAAGCAATGGTTATAACAATAATCAATTGAAACGCAATACTTTTGATATTGATAGAAGTCAGTATGAAAATATAACTTTTAAATTACTAAATAGTTTGTACTTAAAATATTAGATCACACGGATGTTTGAGAAGCTGTGATTATTGTATGAAATCTCCGAACGATATTTATTTCGCACAAACAAAACTTAGTCTTCGATATCGATTGAATTTCATTTCCAAAGGAGTAAAGCAAAATAGTTTTCGTTTTGTTTGATTTATTAAATTGTCCATGGAATGGTTGGTGTTGTGCCTCGAACAAGGATTCCTCCGCGGTTACCTATTTCAATCGAACCAAAGCGTGATGCAAACACATCCGGCAACGGTCGATCTTCTGGTATTGAAAGCCACAGACGTAAAAGATGGCGTTTTTCTGCCGGATCATTCCAGTCTTCAAAATCTGTACGATCATGTAAAAGAGCATGATTATATACAAACTGCATATCTCCCGGCTCAAGCTTCATGGACAGGTTAAGCTTCGGATCATTGGCCAGACGGTCAAACATATCGAGTGCTTCTAAGTGCTTTGGAGTAAGGCGGGGTGCATCTTCAAACCGTTGCGCAGAATCAATATACTGACGTTGGTAAAAAACAGTCAGGTAGCCTTCGTGAAAACTGAATACTGGAATCAACATATAAGGCAACATGCCTTCTGGAACTTCACCTCGCCGGTCAGTTGCTATTGGTTGCATTAGAAGCTCAAGTAGATCAGGCCGCTGCGCGTACATTTCGTTGAAAATTGTTGAAGCGCTCACCAATAAGGATTCTCCGCCAACTTTCGCTGTTTTTAAACACAAAAGGCCCACAACATCTGATGAATCTGTATGAAATGTCTGACGTTCATTCGTTTGATAAAGGCGCACATTCGGGTCGCTACTTTTCATTCCTAAATCAAGAACATGACCAAGCATATGGCCCATTGCATTCTGTGATCTTGGCAGACCAAGATGACAGCCAAGCCCATAAAACATTGTACCTGCTTCTCGGTGGCTGTATTTCTTTATTGGCAACCCTCGCAACAAGAAAAAACCGCGACCATTAATTAGTTCTTTACGAAGAGCTAAAAGTTTAGAGCCTAAAGTCGGTAATGGAAAATTTTCGACCGTGATGGAAGCAATGTTTTGCTTGGAAGTAAGCAGAGATTTAGTGGCTGCCTCCAACTCTTCTATGTCTATGGGAGTTAATTGCACAATCCATTCATCTGTTCGGTGCATCAAGTCCGAGCCATACCAGGCCGAAGCAAGATGTTGCACAGGTGGTAATGTGTGCCGATCACAGCTGTTCTTGTTGCAGAAAAATTTGTCTGGTATGCAAACCGCGTTTTGTTGATCGTCAGCTTCGGTTTTAACATTCTGAAAAGATCGAGAACAACTACTGAATCTCTGTCTGAAAAATAATTGATAACCTTAGCCACTTACCGAGAGGAACTGCATATTTAACGAAAAGTTTGCTGATAATGAAACAAAAGTGTGAGAACAGAACACGTACACATTGGCCAAAAGCACCTCTGCATACGATTCGCTTTTTGCTTTCACATCTAACACGAACACTCGAATCGTCGTCCGCAGTGCAAGTCTTTACAGCAAACAACAGAGATAACCAGCAAAGATCTCTCGAACTTTATCAGTCTCACTACAAGCTTAACATCTCACAATACACACATACATGCATATAACCTTATTACACCTATTCTCTGAAGTATACATGGCCTCTCAGCCCAGAGGGACGATAAATTTTTTCACTTAGGTGTGCACAAGTATTTCTCCACCGCTGTTTTTCTACGTCACTCTATTTTGCTTGCTAGAACTTAGACTGTCGTAACGTAAGAGTGACCATAGTATATTTTCGATAGGAAACCCTAGAATAGAAAAACTTTTATAGTTTAATACATTCGTATGAGTCTGATTTTCGCTTGGAAAGAGTTGACCGTATTGCCACAGGATTCATTTATAGACGCCTACTACTCAAGTAAGGATATAGACTTCACCTTACCCAAAATTCAAAACTTTTGCTTTGGTTTTAAATGTGTTATTTTGGGGTTCCATTCCTGGCAATGCAAACCGTATTCCGGGTTCCCGAGTTCTTCTGGCAAAGAGCTCGACAAGCAGACTTCATTTCATTGACAGTCAATACTACTTAACATGGTATTGTTAACTGCTTCTTTTTGAATCCAAAGCACACGTGGCATCTTGTTCAACTAATTAATTTTGCGATACGATTCAGCAAGTGCTTACTCTCAGGATTCGCAGATTTACTATGCTGATAACGTCTTACACAGTGATTATCTGTTGATGCATAGATAATGGAAATATTTCAAAAATACAACTGACAATCAATATACTGTTACATGCTTGTGAAAACGACAGCACAACTTAAAAATCATTCAAAAGTAACATTATCCGAGGTTGCTTGTTGATGGTCTGAAAATAATTAATTGGTTGAACACTTTCTCACGCTCCATCGACTTCGTCTGAATCGTTGACACCCGAGGAAACACAGCGTTAGCCATGACAATGTAGGTGAAAAGACTTACCCAGTGGCCCGCTTATCGTGAAAACGGAAGAAGGTCCATAAGACCATTTGTGCAGTCCCTTCAAATTCTACTCGTTTGTTAGGGACAGCCCATGATCATATTTCATAAGCTTGTTTCTTGAAATCTCACATTGAGCTTTTAGGTCCATATATGAGGGCTGATTTCGAATATCACGACAAGTGCAAAAAAGCTCGCTCCGTTCGTGCATGGCAGCAATTAGCATGTCAGTGTAAGTATCATTGTCTGTGGCAGCTCTTCACTCCACCTACACCCACACCCTTATGAAGCCGACGAACACAATGAGTGCAATATCTCTTGACAGAAACATTCAACTTATCAAAGGGTTAATCTATTTGATAAATATCTAGACTATTAATTGTTCGTATTATTAAATAATGTCTATCAATCGTAATTGCTAAATTTCGTAATTCTTTTTTATATTCAATACAAGTTAATTTATTATTGCATTTATTATCAATAAAAGTTAATTCATTATTAAAATATTTACTAAGTAACCATCCAGTTTTTGATATTTGTCTATTGATAACTGATGTTAATGTCCAGTAGAGATCATCAGCACCACTAAAATAAATTATTCTCAATGGTAACATATTATAAATTTCAATAAGAATAAGTCGACGTCGTCGTTGAATACCAACAGTTAAATTTTGATTTCTTTCAGCTATTAATAAACCTAAACATTCACCAGTTGGATCATTTTCAATTGCACAAATAGTATCAGTTGTATATAAACCTAATTGATCGAGTGAAAAATTTTTTTCTGTTCTAGAATTATTTCGTTCCCATTCAGAAAGTTTATAATAAACTAATCTCTGTTTCTTTGTTAAACTTAATAAACATACAAGCCATAAATCAGTTTGGTAACATGTAAATAATTGTAATTGTTCATTGGATTGAAATATTTTTTTAATTGGTATTAATTCATATGAAAATAATGTTAAAAGTGTAAATAATCGTGATGTCATTATTAAATATGAACGATGATATGATGACCAACGAATTTGTTTTATTGAATCGTACGTATTTGTATTCCAAGATATTTTTTGAAGTTGACCATCAATATTATATAAAGTTAAATATTGTCCACCATAGATAAGAAATGAATATTCTCCAGCACCCAATGTCGAATCATTTTCACAATCAAATGAATTAATCAATGACTTTTCATTCAGTAAAGTAAAAAAGGAACTATTTAATGATTTTGATATATCTCTAATAGTATGTCCAATAAAAGAGTTTGAATAAAATTTTTTTTTTATTTCTGGTGGTATTTTATTGAATTGAAGATACATTTTTTCAATATTATTCGATTTGATAAAGTGTAGTGCAGATGAATTAAGGCTAAGTTCTTTGGAGTTCTTACTATCATTTTTTACTAAATGATTTTTAAGCATAATAAAAAAATTAATTTTCGAATAATCATAATAAACTAAAACGCGCTACTAATAATACTATTAACAAGAATTCAATCGATTCTATTTGACAAGTGAGCAATATGAGTTTTTTCTAATACCAGAGTCTTACATCGAATTCCGAGAGTGATCATGTGATCCGAGCATGATCAATCATCTTGCATACCAATATAGACAGTTCCATTTTAAGTAATAAACGATATTATATTACTTTATCAATTCCTAAATAAGTTTCGAATCATCAGAGAGGCATCACATTAAAAACGTGCTACAAAAAAGAAGTATTTATGCTAGTAAAAAATAATTTTCAGAACATCACGTACTCAAAACTGGAAAACGAGTTGTTTTCGGATTCGAAGTCTAAAAGTTTGTCTTCACAGGACTTTAGCCAATAGATATTCCTATTTAATTCTAGTAGAGTTTTTGTTTAAAGAAACATTCTCCAGAAGATGCATCGGACAGTATAGATGATGAGGATAATTACAAAAATCTTTTAACTACATCATTGAAACTGAGGATGAGAGCTAAAATTAGGTATGTCACAATATCAATACCATTCAATGTCAATACCTCTATACCATATTGGTATTGTGACAAATCTAGCTCAAATCGTTTAACTAGTTTCTATGTTCCTTTACTGTAAAAATCAGGCCGTATGCCCTTCAACGGTTTTCTGTGTTAATAAACCTTTTTTGAGTGAGGCGCAAGAAAATGCAAAATTTAAACGCAATTTTTTTCACGATATTTATGCATGATCAAATAGAGCTCGTCGAGCTGAGCAATAGTATATGAATTTTATACTCTCAGAAAAACTTTTAAAGGACGAAAATTAACAAAGAGTATTACTATTAAAATCCCTCAAAAACTACCTAAAGTTGAAAAATAACTAAAAAAATCTTCGTGTTGGTGACCTTTGATACTTTTAATAATGTTTTACTTTTATTCTAGATGAAAAACTGAATTTAATACGAAATGCCATTCGAGCTTTACTCAATGACGAAAGGCAATGCGAAACGCCCAGCGCCAATAAATCAAAAACTCTATTAAAAACAAACAAAAATTTTTGTTTCTAGAATTTATTGTAAGATGCTTTTCCCGAATAGATAGCTGCATTTTATTCGAATCAGGCGTTTTTTGTTGTGATAAACCGGAGTATTTTTTTCGATTAATGGACTGATCAAAGCGTAAAAAGAATTGACAATCAGATATGGCAAAAACTCATCACTACGAGAACTCTATCAACGCGTATCAACATATTTATAAAGCACACTGTCGAACGATCGTGTAATTATCTATTTCATTCATTGTTTAGGATCACTTGTCTTTATAGTTGTTATGGATAAAATTAGCTTATCGAGTAGACAAGAGGCTAACTTTTTATCCATTATTAAATGATGTGTAAACTTAAATCAAAAGATTACTGATTGCCTTTCTCTGTACAAGGATATGACTCATGTCAAATACTATTAATGGACTCTCATCACGAATATCACTTAGTGCTATTCCATAATGGTAGCAACCCAGTTCTGATTCCATATCAATCAACAGATCTGGACGAGATCTATCAAACGATGCTAAGAAACTTACAGAAAAGAAAAGAGAATATATGTCTCTTTTTTGAAATATTCAAAACAACTGAATGTTTAGCATTGTTATATATATACTTAATTTATGGGATAGAAATTTTCCTTGATTGAAATGTATAGATTTACTCTATTCTGTATACCAATAGATAGTTTTCATCAAGACCTATCAAATGGGGATGAAGAATCTATATAAGAGTGTAGATGTGGGGTATGGATGAAAAGAAGATTCATGCCCATACCCACACGCTTATAAAAGTTTGTTTGCGAGTTGATTGAACAGCTTTATCAGTTAAAATAAGGTTTATATACTCTCAAAACGTCTTGAATTTATCGTAGTTGAGGATGAAAACTAGAAGAAAGTTGATTGATGCCAAGAGATTGAGAGAAAACAATATTTTTTCAAAAGATTCGATGAAATTCCAGTTGAAAATATAAGCCAACCATTAAATAAGAGAACTGAATTCTGTTCTTCAATTCAATTACAAAACAATAAACTTCGTTTATCCCGTACTCTTTTTTTTGTTGAAGGTTATTTTCCATTGGAATTTTTTCTTATTCATGTTGCATTTACCGTGTCTGCTAAAATGTATTATGCACCAACATTTTATGTTCAAATTATTTCATAAAATAATTCAATCGGCAAAAAAGATCAGATTAACATTTAGACAATCACTATCTAAGATTTGTAGAGTATGATCATGCTAGTTCTGAACTGTGAGGATATTTGAACTATAATAAATATCATTTGCTAACAATCTCTCATATTTTATGAAACATGACATCGTCAACACAATGTAGATTATATTGGCACGTTGTGCGCGTTCAGTCAACATGATCGATCATAGTCTTTGCAACACGCGTAAACGTACATTGCAGTCTCATATATAGTTGAGCATAAATTACCAGCCGAAGCGACACAAATGTTACTACGGCAGTGGAAACCGTCATGTCACCTGCCGATATCGCAAATGGATGATCATGGAACAAAAACCCGACGAAAGCCATTGAGTTGGTGTAAATTAATCATTTCGGCCTTGATTCCATGTGTCTTAGGTATCTTTACAATTCTTTTTACGTTGCAACAACAAGATCTCTCGAAACAACAACAACAACAAGAACGTTGGCATCAACTTGATTCTCAACGGCAAACATCGTTCAATGCATATATTGATGACATATCGAAGTTTCTCGCACAAGAAATGGCTATACATCCGGTGATCGACAAAACTTCCCTGCTTTATATCCGAACGAAAACATTAACTGTTTTACGAACTTTGGATGCTGAACGTAAAAAATACGTTCTTTTATTTTTATATGAAAGTGGTCTCATTCGCAATTCTGGTCTTGACTTGCGTGGCGCTGATCTAAACAATGTTCAATTGATTGGACCGTACAAATTAGACAATTTATATCTGCCCGATGTGTTCTTGTCAAATGTCACATTTGTTGATTGTCATTTGAAAAATGCAACTTTCGATCGATCAGTTATGAATAATGCACGTTTCATTCGATCAACATTAGAATCAGCTTCATTAGGCGAGACTGTCTTGAATAACACGGATTTCACAGGAACTACGATCATTTTTGCGAATTTCACTGGAGCATTTCTAATCGGAGCAAATTTTCTCAGTGCAGAAGTAGTTCAAGGTCTCACATTTACGAATAGTGATTTATTTGAAGCTCATTTCACTGAAGAACAATTTCAAGGGCAACGTGCCACTATGTTAGCACACAATTTTAGTCACGCACGCTTACCTAATGGAACTTTCGGACCGATTGATGCAAAAAAGAATCTCATTCAGAATGGTGATGCTGAACGGAATGTAAGATATCTATTTTCTTTCGAAATCATGCACTAGCTGACGATGATTTTTCTTCTGTTTTGTCCAGTGTTCAACAGAGAAGCCAGAGCCTTGGTTAATGGTTTATACCAATACCACATTGTACACTCGTGATGTAAGAAATATTTCAGTTATAAACATGACATTCGGCGACTTTGATAGAGGCAAATGTTCATTCGCAGTGAAGGTCAAAACTCGAGTTACTCAAATCATCGATCTTCGCCTTTATTCACTTCTCATTGACGCTGGTCAAGGAGTCTTTGCTGCATCAGCGCTTATGGGTTGTGATGTACCTGGCAATAATGCATACATGTCTGTGAGTATGCAGCGTTCTGATGGATTGATACAAGGACAACGATTGTATTTAAGTAAGAACAATATGAAGGCAATCATGTTTCTTGCATGCTATTATTTTATTTCGATTCTTTAAGGCTCAGATGGAATCAAGTTGGATGATACATTTGTGATGCAACCGCATCAAATACGAGTACAACGAATGATAGAATATACACGTCGTGTCACCATCACTTTCGGCGTAGAAACATTGCCAAAATCAGGTACTTGGTGTTACTTTGACCATATGGCATTCATCGTTCGACAGACAATCTGAACACAATGAACATTTTTCGAAGCAAACGATTGTGCTCCTTCAGGCAATATTCTATCATCTGCGCTTTTCTGAAACATACATATCCGATTCGAGTCAAATCCATTGAATAGAAAGATCAGGATCGAGATTTTCGAAATTCCGATAGAGGTTTCTATCTTTGTTCACTTCAATTAGTGGTGAACTCTTTATTTTATATCATAGTCGATCAAGAGCTACAGTAGGTATTCAGATGACAAGTCCTATTTGACGGTGGATGCGGCGCGGTTGTAACTATTATATTCGTTCACACACCACATCCACATCCTGCAATATATATCAAGAGTCGTATACTTTCCTAGATATATTTTTACCATTTTGTAGTCGTTGAACAATTCTATCTACCCTACACCTATGGCTCTTTGCAGCATAATTTTACTGTTAGGATCCTGATGAACATTCCCATTGGTCGTACTCTAAAAAGTTCTGCAAAGTTGCTCACAGAGAGAGAAGCAGTACAATATTGAAGGGAGTAGCATGAGCTCAATGAAAGAACCAATAAACAGAGTGGTTTTCGAATAGGATCAATGTGGGCATCGTCCATCTTTCGTCCTTCGGAATTTGACGCACTAAAAAATTATTAATACAATTACCTCTCTCGGTTGATCGATAATAAACAACATTCTCGCTTCAACTCATTTTCAATGAAACTATAACAAATACAGAACAATTCTCTTCAATTTGAAATCATTTTTAAGTCAAAGTCTTTCAGATAATGTCCTCCAATGCTCAGGCTCTAGATTTTATGTTTTCTTTCAAAACCTCTTCCAATGAAGTCTTTTTACAGCAAAACATAGTTCCAATCCAATACTGGAAAAAGTATAAAAAGTTGCATTTATTGAAGAAACTTTTGACATTGATTGATATTGAACATGCTGTACGAAAGCGATTTTCCTCTTGCATGGCTCTCTGACCGCATCTTTCTTTCCAACTTTGTCCTCATCTTCTGGACTAAAAGAATTATCTATTGACGCAACTTTGTAAAAAAATCTTTTCTCCACAAGATGTATAGCTTCTGGAATAACATCAACTAGCATCATTACTAATCTAAAGAAGACGATACATCATCATGTTCTCAATAGAGACGATAATATATCCTCTAAAAAAAAACAGTCCAGTCTTTTCACAGTGATGATAATTGGAAAATGTCATCTTTCCGTACAATAGAGATGCTTAGAATTGCATGCAAAGTGTTTCGCATAGACAGCTGTACCAAAAAATAATATGAAAACAACATAAACAGCTTCAAAACATGTCTTCAAAATCATGAAAAGATTCTAACAAGGCAAGAGTGTGGATATGAGCTAACTGAGTACTCATATTCTTGCCCATAAACACACCCTCTTTCTAGAACAACAACACCATACTAATACTCGCAACTCAACGAAAGCCATTCGAACAAAACCTACGACTTATTGTTGTTGTAAGTTTTGATCTCTGATTTGGGTTTTGTAAATACAGTTTACTTGTGAAATGTAGTCTGTAGTATGTATAGGCAGAACCTCACAAACAAATTACAAGAAAAACGTGCTCTCAATCGATTGAAGGAGAAATGAATGTTGAATCATGCTCAGCATTCTGCCACAATGAAGAACAAACGAATTTCGTACTTTTTATATGTATGCAACAAATGCACATGACTTGTGCAAGAGATGTGTCGAGTCCGAAGAGCATGCACACATATTCCTACCAGAAAAAAAAACTCGATTACAGTGCACAAGTAAAAGAAACTGAGTTTCGAATAATTTAGTGACTTCATAGCAATAAAAAAGGCATGAAAACTCATAAGTTAGCTTGTAGTCAAATAAATGTGATTTCTTATAATAAGTTCGATGGTTTGAAGATACCGAAAAGACCTTAACATTGGAAAAGATTGAAATTCACAACAGTTCATAATTAATTGTTTTACTTGAGAAGAAAATGAAGAAGCTATAGGATATATGTATATACACAGCTGTCTCCAAAACACACTGAGCCAACAGTAAAAATTCTATTTCCAATGTTTTTATGTTATATAGCACAATTCCTGGTATCATTCTTTTGATGATAATTCTCCGACACATGAACAAAAAAATGAACTTATGAAACTGCAGTTGTTTTTTTTTGAATATATAGATATTAAAAATATTATCCGGTTCACTTTTTTAAATTGTAATATATTCATATTACATTATTGAAACAAAAATACGAGACCAACTAGCGTTGCGAAGTGGAAACCCGACATTCCCATGGAAATCTCTATTTATGGAGTGGTTGTAGAGCTTTTCTTCATTCCTGTCTACACACCCACTCACATCCTATACTACAATATGTATGGATCTGTTTTAATTTTTATGATATTACTAATAATTTTTTTTCCTTATTAGCATATTTTTCAGTATTGACTAATGTACGCAAATATAAATCTTCTACAAAAACAGGTTTCTATTTTCTTTCGTTAATCAAATGTCAATCTTCTTCTAAATAATGTGATATTCTTCACTATTTTAACTTTTCCAAATGAACAGTGTAATATATTTATAATCACAGTTTTGAATATTTATATGACTATTGAACTTTCGTTTGTCGATTTACATAGCATATAAGAACAATACATTTAATTTGTATTTTGAACATAATTTACAAGATTGAGATTGATAATTTACTTCGTTTATTTAAATACCTCAGCCTTATGAAAACGATTAATCAGCAGTATGATGAACTCTGATCGCACGCAGCCATCAGAACTAAATCGATCTTCATACAAAGATCAACACAGACCCCTTATTTAGTCAAGGATACTTCAGCCTTAGCAATCAGTTTCACGATGTTTGACTCCTTGTTCCACGTATTCTTAGCGTAACAGTTGATAGCAGAGTTCATCAGTTTCAAAAGAAAATCGAAATTGTTCACTCGTAGATAGATACAAAAAACATTAGCTCTATATCAAGAAGTTTTCATTTTGTTATTCTTAAAACTAAAAACTTCAGTATATAAAGAGTATAAAATAAGTTTTAATTCCATCTTGCAATACTCTTTTATCACATATTTTCAGGCTACGGAGACTTGTATACATGGTGCACACAATTGCTACAGAAATACAATTATGGCCAAAATCATAAGTATTTTGGTATTATAATAGAATAGTTACAGATGAAAAAATTCTTAGTCATCGATCACACATTCACACTAAATAACTTTTAGTTTTCTATTTATAACTCTTGCGTTCTATCATTTCTCAACGTCATTATGAACACGAGAAAAATATACGATCTCCTTTACTTTTGAGATCGTAATGTGCAGAAATAACGAAACGTACGAATGAATCACATACAAAGACAAAATAACTCTAATATTGACTGATGTCAGTTGGTAGATAATTACACCGTTTTACTGAATCATCTTACAGTATTCTTTTAGACTTTTATTATTTATTAAAAGAAATTCGATTTTTAAATCTCTTTTCGAGAATTACTTTTGATGAAGTAGATTTAGACGTCTAGTGCATGCATTGTAAATATCAGTTTCAAACGACATCAAAATATGCAAGAAAAGAGTCATGTAAGATAAAATCAAAACTTATATTACACCCGTGATGTATAGCATTGTTTTGTTTATGCATAAAAACATAACTTGTAATTTCAATTATTCTTAATTATTTGTGATAACATTTTCTTCATTGAATTGCCGATCATCAAAATGCTACTGTGCTTCAGGATCACAATTGATTAAAGTTTCAACATAACAGCAAACAAGAAAAATATCAAAAAGGGCCTTTTTCCAAGTTCAAGGATAAAAATACTGTGCTCTTTTTCTACATTCAATGCATTATGACCAATCGACCTTGAATTGATGTCTTCAATCATGGTTCGCCAAACTCTATTTTCAGTCAAAATATCAGACAATAATATTGAAATTTCGGTACTGATGCACATTCAATCCTTTCAAAATGAAGAAAGAATAAAATATTCATTGGAACAAATTTTCTAAAACATCACATCATAAGATTCTTTTATTCAAAATTCAAACATATAAACTACATGATTTCGTCGTGATTGATAAACTACAAGTAATGTTCGATATTTAAAATAAATACTATGATGTATAAATATATTTAATATACGATGAATTCTAAAGGTGAGGTTTTTAAAAGAAAAAAAAAAAACGAACTAAATATTTCGACTAGTGAGCAGTATAAGTTCAATAAATAAAAATGGATTTTATTTCTTTGCTTTGCCTTGATTAGCAACTTCTTCAATAGCTTTTTGAACAACATCATCAGGTGCAACATAATAATGTTTAAGTGGATTTAAATTTTCATCAAGTTCATAAACCAAAGGAATACCTTAAAAATAAACAAAATAAAAATTTAATTGTTATGATTTTTTTTTTTTGAAATTTTATTACCTGTTGGTAAATTAAGTTGAACAATTTCATCATCAGATACTTTATCAAGATATTTAATTAATGCCCGAAGTGAATTTCCATGTGCAGCAACAAGTACTTTTTGTCCTGAACGCATAGCTGGTACAATAGCATCATGCCAATATGGTAAAGCACGTTCAACTGTATCTTTTAAACATTCAGTTAATGGTAATACACGTCGATCTAAATTCTAAACAAAAAAACACACACAACAATTATATGTATATATAAATTTTATTTTTAATTTTTAAATACTTTATATCTTGGATCATTTCTTGGATTAAATTCACTTGATGTTTCAAGTTCAGGTGGTGGAATATCATAAGCACGTCGCCAAATCTACATAACAAATAAATATATATATATATTTCTTTTTTTACTTCTTTTTAATTGAAACTAACTTTAACTTGATCTTCACCATATTTAGCTGCAGTTTCAGATTTATTTTTTCCTTGTAAAGCTCCATACATACGTTCATTAAGACGCCAATGACGATGAACAGGTATCCAATGAAGATCTAATTCTTCTTGAATACAATAAAGTGTTTTAACTGCTCGTTTTAACACCGATGTAAAAGCTACATCGAATGTATAACCTTTTTCTTTAAGCCACTAAAAGAACAATTTGTTTTTTTTTTCTTTATTTTTTAAATAAAAATAATGACGAACTTGTCCAGCTTTTTTAGCTTCTTCAAGACCTTTTTCTGATAGATCAGCATCATACCAACCACAAAATAAATTTTTTTGATTCCATATACTAGAAGAAAAAGATAATAATAATAATAAGATGAAGGGAATCTATTTTGACATTTATTTTATCTACCTTTCGCCATGACGAACTACAAAACAAAAGAAAAATAATTTATCAATGAAAAAAAATAAATAACAACTTACCTAAAACTAATTTGTATGCAGCCATGATTGAAAATAGAAAAAAAGGAAAAGAAAACTATAATTGAATATGCTTCTGGCGGGAGATCAAAGTACAATAACTATACAAGAAAGAAATGGAAGAAAATAAGCAATATGACGACCTCTATTTATAATGATATTGGTTACAAACTAAACAAATAATAACAGAGAATCCATCTATTCCTTTATTGCGGTTTTTATATTCAACCGACTGATTATGTGTTTTAATTCGAACTTGTGAATTGTTCGAATCTTTATCTTAAAAAGTGAGATAATGATGAACAAAGATTTAATTGCTCAAAAGCAATTTATTTTTAGAATCTTTTTTTTTTTTATGAATATTCAAATGCTTTAGTTATCATTTCAGATACTTTTTTTTTTTTAAATAAAATTAATTATTATATTAAAGATGCCAGGTATTCTTCGATCTGGATCATTGAGAACAAAAGTAAATTTTTTGTAATTTTAAGTTTATTATTATTATTATATTTATCTTCTTGTTCAGACTAAATCAGAAGAGAATTCTCCACCATCTGTATCAAAACGTCGAACACAAACAAAAGTAAATATATTTTAGAAACTTGGTGATATTAATCGATTTTCATATTTTCTAGAAAGAACTTCCGGAAGAAAATGAAAATAAAGTAGAACCAGTACGTAATGTTGAAGAAATTCGTCGAAAAAATCTTGAAGATAATAAAGCATTTCTAGAAGGTTTATTAATGACACAAGTAAAATTTAAATTATTTTGAAAACAGAACTTTATTCTCTTATATATATATATATGTATTAGATTCGTGATGATCTCAAAAGTTTAGCCAATACATTACAACCAACTGTTAAAAAAGAAGCTAAAAAACGTGATAATAAATAGTATGTTTATATTATTACATCATCAACTGAATGTAACAATAGAATTAAAATTAATAGATATTTCAGATTTGTATGTACAGAAAAAGAACTTTTCAAGAAACTTGACAAAAATACACCAGGACAATAATAATAAGGCCGGAAATAGTATCATAAAATGCCATAGAGTGTAGAATTAAAATATTAATATATGGTCTAGTCATAATACAGCAATAGTGTTGCTATTTCATGAATGGTTCATATAAAAAACTGAAATGAATCGATTGTCTAATTTGATTCTATCTATAAGACTAATATATCAAACATATGAATATGAAAATCATTATATGCCGAAAGTTAGACAGTAAAATTTCATAATCATTTAAATATTTTATGGAATATTCGAAGTAAATATTGATTTATTTAGTATAACTGTTGCGGAAAAAATTCCTGTTCGACGATCACGTCGTCTTGCACATATGGATGTTGATGGTAATAAAATTCCATCACCAGAAGAAAGTGATAATGAAATGGATACTACTAAAGTATATCTGATATTAAATTTTTTTTTTGAAATAAAACGATGATTTTTTTCTTAAATAGGATCAAAGTATTACGAGTATAGTTTATCGACGACAAAGTTATAAACGAGAAATTGAAATATCTCCTGAAGAACAAGAAGCACTCAATCAAAAAATTCAAACATTTTTTGAACAAAATGATTCAACAATGGATTCAAAAAAGTAAAAAAATAGAATTTTTTTTTTGGGTACAAAAAATAAAAATATTTTATTAGATCAATTTATGAATTTTCTGATTTACAAATAACTGATGAAAATGTTCTTAAATTAACACCTGATCGTCTTTTATTTATGGATATTCATTCTCGTTCAGATATATTAGCTATTATTGGTTGTGATCGAAAGGGTACAATTGGTCTTGTTGTTAAAGTAATTTGAAATTTTTCAAAAAAAAAAACAAATAGATTTAACAAAAAAAACTTTATTTCTAGTCTATCGATGATTTGAATGGTCCATGGTGTAAAATTAATTATAATTTTCATACTAACTATGCTACATGTTGTCGTTTTGATAATTTTAATTCAAATATTATTAATTCAACATCATATGATTCAACATTTCGTGCATGTGATATAACAAAAAATCAATCCATTGAAGTAAAATTTTTTTTTTTTTCGTAATAAAAACACTATTAAAATTCAATATGAATTTATTTAGATATTAAAAGATTCTGATAATCATGGATTAACAGCTTTTGATTATCGATCATTACAAACTTGTGTAATTGCTGAAGATAATGGTGATGTATTATTAGCTGATATACGAGCAAAGTAAAGCTTTCTTTTTTTTTTATTGTGAAGCACAATCTAAAGAGATAATGTTGAAATATATAGAATAGAAATTTGCATTCATCAACCAGCAATGATAATTTGTCGAATAACAGAGAGTTGTGCATTAATTTCCTGATATTTCTGTCATTCATAGATGTCAAAATAATGCTTCTCGTGTACTAACTTCTCAATAAATATGTTAGAAATGGCTCATGACGAGAAATATATTAGACCAAGACCGGAATTCAAGTTTATTATGAAGTATTCTATGGTTTTAATTAAAAATCATTAGAGATCTCAGGAAATCTTCATCAACTCGATTAAGTCCTTCTAGAATAGTTTTCTCTTGATTTACGAAGATCATAGATGAACATTTCGTAATAATACTTTCTTATTCCATTTCTAAGAGATTAAGTAAAAGGATAGTGAAGAATTGTGCTCTACAATAGATAGAATAAAACAATGTACTTGTGATTAGCAACAATAGCTATATTAGATTTTATATTTTAACGTTTTTTTTTTTTTTATAATTAATTATTATTTAGTCCAGTATCAATAGAACGTTTTGATGTATCAAAAAAACGTATACGTACTCTTCATATAAATCCAATGCAAACAGATGAATTTTGTATATCTGGAAGTGATAAGTATGATTAAATTTAAAAAAAAAAAACAAAATTTTTGTAATCTTATTTGAAAATTATTTAGTTGTGCAAAAGTTTGGGATTTACGAAATATGTCAACTATGAAATATTGTTTACAAACAAATTATTCATGTTATGGAGCTTATTATAATCAAGCAGGTAGTCACATTATGGCAACATCTCGCGATGATCATATAATGTCATTTTCATGTCATGATATGGAATATGCAAATGATCCATTAGATATTCAACCAATAAAAAAAATTCATCATACAAATTATGTTAATCGTTTTGTAACACCTTTTACAGCACAACCATATCCAATATTTGAATCCTATTTTCTTATTGGATCAAGTGGATATCCTCGAGCCGTAAGTTTTCTTTTTTATTTATTTGTATTAATATATTAAATTTAGATAAGTATTTTTAATGAAAATTGTCAAAAAATATCCTCATTAAGTAGTGAAAATTTAAATTCATTAGCTACAGTTAATATTAGTCATCGAACACTTCCAATAATTGTTGGTGGAAATTCAAGTGGACGTATTCATGTATTTACAGGTCATATATAACAAAATGAAATTGTATGTAATCATGTAAAATTATTATTATTTTTTTGTTAAACAAGTTAACTTTTTTGATAGTAAAGGAAGATTAAAAGAAAAACAACCCTATTGTGAATAATTTCGATTGATTGTTAAAATAAACTATAAAGAATTTATTTTTTAAAATAATAAAAGACATTCATCTGATTTCGTACGACTTAGATTACTATTAATTACATCGAATAGCACCTTCTTGTGCACATGTTACAATAAGTCGTCCAGATCTAGTCCATATTCGTCCAAAAGTTAATGCTCGATTATGCATAGCTATTGGACATTCTAATTCATACAGTAACCAATCATCAGCACGTACAGATGTTTTAGGTGGTATAGGTGGAATATTAGGAGTTCGTTCAATTAATTTTGATGGCTCATCATCTTTTAATAAATTATGTGGTGGTGTAGGATCAAAACCAAAATCATCATGAAACCACATTGAATGATCAAGTGAAACTTGCATTCGAATACGTGTACTAAATATATTAATTGCATAGGGTAGAAGTGCTGAAGTTAATAATACACGATCACTACAATAAGCAACAGCAGCTCGATGTAAATGTGAATCATTAGGTAATGGTTCAATAGCTTTAATCCAAACAAGTTGTCGTGCTGGCCATTCAGGTGTAGGTGTAAGTAAATCACGTGGATGACAATGACGAATATCAATACGTGTAGGCATTTCAAGAGCTTGTTCAAGTAATGGTCGAAATTCAACTGGTAAACGTTTGTCTTCAAGAAGACTTCGAAAACGTTGTCTTGTTGAACGAAGTTTTTCAGGTGGAACAACATCTAAAAATAAAAAAAATATAGTTTTTTTTTTTCTTTTAAATTTTATATCAAATAGAAAACTTACCAACACTAGGCATTACAGGTTGATGTGCTAAATTTCCTTGTTCTTTACGATGAAAACTCATTTCACATTCAAAAATTATTTTATCATCTTGTACAGCTGTGACACTACGAGCTTCAAATGATTTACCTTCACGTAATCGTTTAACTGAATATGTTATTGCTGATGAATTATCAGCTGCTGCAAGAAAATATGAATGAAGACTATGTAAAGGATGATTTTTACGTAATGTTTTTTGAGCAGCATAAATAGCTGAACCAATAATTTGTCCACCGAATACACTTGTACGATAAGGATATACGAATAAAGTTTCAGCAGGTTGAACAAAAACATCCGGTGAAATTTCAAACACCTTTAATGTTTCATAAAGTGAAGGACCTTTTGATGATAAACATCGATGAATAATTATGTTCAATAATGAATAACGTTTGAAAAGAATCATCATATTGTGTTTTTTTTGCTTATCAATAAAAATCCTATAACATTATAAAATTTATGCAAGACATCATTCAGTTTGTGTTGTGGTTATAGTAATGTTATTTTTGATGTGTTTTGGCCCATGCTTTTCCTGAAGAAAATATGATGGAACAGAAACGTTTAGGTTGTTGTTTTGTTTTTCTCGTTCTTTCGCTGATTTTTTTTCCTATGTTACGAGAAGAACGAAGGAGCAGAAAAATAAACCATTGGTTGCCAATAGAAAATAACTATTATGCCTCAATGCAACAAAAAAAAACATTCTATTGAGTTTAGAGCGAGAAATGTAGTACATTTTAGTGTCATAGTTGTGACTTATTTTTTTCTTAGAAAAATAAAAGAAAAAAGACGAAGAAGAAGAAGAAGAAAAACTTTCTAAGTGATATAGAAAATATTTTACGAGTTCAACAGATTATCTCATTGAATCTTGATATAAACTTGATGTATATTAAGTAAATTAAAACAAATGCTTGATTACTTTCTAAAGATTATATGAAGAACATCAAGCTAAATATCAATGTTTCTGTTCGATTACTATTGGATGATGTTGAGTATGTTTAAATACAGTTTTCGGTATGTGCGTTATACCATTATAGATGAATGGATTCCAACGTCCTTTTAATGTTACACCTGGCTGTGTAATACTTGAGCATAATTTGTCGTCATCGAACGATTTATAATAAGGTGGTGCACATTGATTGGTTTTTTTCGATGTAGACAGACGTTTACCAATAGTAAACAAGGGTAATCGATGACGATCGATTTTCTTTGTATAGTAAAAAGGTACATAAGTACTTGAACTAAGTTGTATTTCATCGGATGAAAAACGATGTTTTTGTGTAAAACCAGGTTGTAATCGTGGTAAAATATCTTCATCAAATTCATATATTGGATAAGCAGCTGGACCAGGTGAAATCGATAGAAATTTATTATGTAAAGATTTACGTGAAATTATTGGACCGTATAAAGGTCGAATAAGAGGAGCACGATGATGATATGCTGATCGAGATGGAAAATAAAATTGTCCAGAATAATTATGTTTATTTTTATGTTCGATTCGACGTGGTGTAATTGATATTGCAGGTATTTTAGCATTCGATGTATATTGATCATTAGGATTGTACTTTGCTAATAAACTAGTTGATATAGGTGAAGTTGTTTCATATCGACTACCGATTGTTTTACCTACAGATTTTATAATTGTTTTTTTTTTTATACAATGAAATAATTTATAAAAATAAACTTGTGTATAAAAAGTCTTTGGATTACATGTTCAATTATAATCTTAAGAATTTTTTTTCTGGTTTAAAATTAGTTCATTAACAAAAAAAAACCTTTACACAAAGACTAAAAACGGCACATATACAAAATTTTTCATGCAACGAGTAATTGTTAGAAAAATATTATATATAAAGTTAGATTCTTTTTTTAGCTCTAGTGTACTATAATGTATGCTTTAGTAGAAAATAAAAGTCCATGCATATGGGTCAATAAAAAGTTCTAAACATTCGTTTGGAAAGAATATCAAATTTTGATTTCAATTGACTACTTTTGAGCTTCTTGAATGACATTAAGAAGTAGACCAAAATTCATCAGACATGTTGTACAAAGAGTTCATCAAACTTTTAAAAAAGTTTTTTTTTTTGTCTATTTACCTGGTCGAATATAGATAGATCTATCTGGTATATGATAATAACCAGGACCAGGTTTTTTTATAAATTTCTCTTTCGATTGAAATATTTTTGGTTTAATTACCCATGCTGGACCATGATAAAAATCATCATCATGCACACTATAAAATGGTGGTGCTTTTGTTCTTATCTTTCTATTAGATATTTGATACTCCATTATTGATTGTTGCACTTTTATCACATTACAAGTGATATTTATTATGTAAAAAAAATTATATTTTTTATTTGATTATTAATAGTTCAAAAGAATAAAAATAAAAATGAATATGTGTTGCTAAGATTATTCTTTTATTAATATACATATTTTATTTTAATGTCTAATAATCGTCAGTTAAGACGACGACAACAACAACAAAAATCGATTTCAATATTTTCAAATTTAATCAATACATGGAAAGTTCGTCCTATCAATGGTTTTGAAAAACATTTATTTTCAAATGCTCAAACATCTTTTAATAATGCCATTGTATCTATAAAATCTATTCAAAAAAATATGATTGATCCATCTCGATTTATCTATCCACGTGATGCTATGGGTAATATGCTTATTCCATTAGTCAATCGAAATACTTCCATTTCTAAACCATTTTATTTGCCTAAGTATGATCTGATTAAAATTCGTTCACCCAGATGGACCATTAAAAATGTACATCATTCGAAAGACATTGATTATCATATAGGTCCAATGACTTATGATAGTGTTAATGATAAATCACAATTATCATGTAAATCTGGTTGGACGCAAATAGGACGACAAACATATAAAATACATTCAGAATTAACAGTACCATTTTATGATACAAGAAAATATAAACAAGTTGGTGATCGATATTCTGTATGTTTTTTTTCTCGTGTATTCAACTAAAATTATATTTTAATTAATTTTTAATAGAAACATGCCGTAATTCTTGGACGACGAACAATTCGTACAGATATGAAAACTAAAAAACTTTCGAATATTATCAAAAGAAAATCTAATATTAATATTGAATATCCATATGATATACAAGATTATGAAGCAATTACAAAACGAAATGACTTCATAGATAATAATCTATTGTCAACGAAAACTCTTTATCGAAAATCAAATAATTTAATCATATCTGATCACCATATCGACAAAATAGAACCTATAGAGATTGTTATAGAGCAAGAAAGAAGTGTATTAGACGATGAGAAAACTTCAGCAAAAGACTGAAATAGAAATAATTTCTGTTTGTACCATCGGACAGACGTTCATGAGACTAGTTTCAGATCTTCTGATTTACTTCTATTCTGAAATAAGAACGTCGAATCTGCTAGTTTATATGAGTGACGTAAAAGATATAAAACATTTACAATAAACTAGAATTTAAACGAATATTTATATTATAGAACTTGATGTTTTAAATCAGTTTTTTTTTCTTTGAAATTACTTCGCATATTAGTCATTTTTGTTGATAATTTGAATATCTAAAGAGGAGAAAAGAATAGAAATCGATTTCATAGTAATGATGTCCGTACAAAAAATAAATCTTTCTTTTGTTTTCATAGACGGCACACCACCAAAGCGATAGCGTGCAATTGCTTCTACTGATATCTTCCTATTCTCTTCGTTAGCATAGAAAGACTAATACACAATGCAAGAAATTTGTTGTATTATTTTTGCATAATTATACATTTGTCACATCTATTTGACTTATGTGTTTACTACACAAACTGAAGGCGGATTAAGCAAAGCAATATCATATTATTGAAGAAACACGAAGACCATTCTTATTATCTATTGATTACGAGTGTTGGTATTAAAATTTTCAGAATCCACTAACACTTCAACATGTCAAAAGAAATTATATTTTAGTAATAAAACGTTTAAAAACAATTTATTGTTTCCTCTAAAAAGTTTAGTTTGTATCGCGTATGATATGTATGACATGGATCATGTCGCATGTTGGAAGTGGAATATATCATAGTAGAATTATCATTAGCAATAGCAAACTGTTTAAACTTTGAACAATCGACTGCTTTTGATCCAAATCAATAGATGTCACTAGAAGTCTTAGAGTTATTTTACTAGTTAAAAATAAAAATAATGCAATTTAATCTTATTTCTTTATTTTATTATTAAATTTTGATTTAATATCTAAATAGATAATAACATTAAAAATAAAATAAAAAGTCTTTTCATAACAACTTGAAAACAAAATATGAGATAGGCTATCCATATAATATCAATTCTACATCCAAAAATTAGTTTTAGTCATTCATAAACAAGTTAGTCAAGTTCTTGTTAATATTATATATTTATTCTTCATTATTTTAGATCTACTTAAATAACGTCTCCTTCGATTTGATCGGGCCGTCATGAAGTAAAAAGAAACTATTACTACAAATAGACGTTTATTTTATTGTAATTGTTTTTTTTTGTCAATTTTCATCTATTTAGACTTGAAATTTGCAATTATAGTGGATATAAAATATATCCAGGTCATGGTAAACGTGTTGTTAAAGTCGATGGAAAGGTTTGTTTCGATGATTTTTCTTATACAAAATAAATACTTTCAATGTTTCATTAGGTACACATTTACTTAAACTCAAAATGTCAACGATCAGCGGATATGCGTCGAAATCCTCGTCGTGTTACATGGACAGTTTATTATCGACGAAAACATAAGAAAGGTGCTGCTGAACAAGAAGTTAAAAAACGTACACGTCGTAATATTAAATTTCAACGTGCTATAACTGGCGTTACATGGAATGAAATTCTTGCTAAACGTAATCAACAACCAGAATTTCGAAAAGCACAACGACAAGATGCTATCAAGTAAAATTAAATCATTTATTATTATCTGTTATTAAGCTAAACAAAAATTTTTTGTTTTTTCCTTCATAGTGCGGCTAAACAAGCTAAAAAAGCTAAAGCTCAACAGAAAAAAGTAACACAAACTGCTAATGTTAAAGTAAATTAATAAAAAAAAAAACCTAAACTTGAGTTCTCTTTTAATACATGATTTTTTTGTATTATTTAGGCTGGTAAACCCGTGAAAAAACCAGAAAAAATTCAAAAGAATTTACCAAAGACAGGCCCAAAAAAAGGCACTCAACGTTAAATAGATTATAATTTGTTCGCATTGCCGCCTCGTTGTTTGTTTTTTTTTTAATTTAGCAAACGTTGTGTGCATTCTCATCTGTCGTTTGTTTTTCATAAACATTTCATAAGGAGAAATAAACAGAAACAAGAAGAACTACAAACAACAACCGAAAAAAAAAACAATCTTATCAATCTAAAAGCATAGTTGCAGGCCTAAAAAAGAATAGTGATCGAATTTTCGATCGACTCTACTTATTTTAGATTATTTTCTTCTTCTTTTTTGTAATTATGGGAAATGATCAATCAACAGGAAATGTTTCGAATATATCAACAACTCCGAAAAGTAAAACACAAGCAAAAGAGATAATTGTTCTTGTTTTTTTTTGATTGAATATTTTCTATAGCTCCAGTCTATCATCCGAATATAACTGTTGTTAATTCTGGTCCGATTGCAGCCAGTGGTTCGAGTGCAACAGCATCGAACTCATCTGTAACTGATGATAGTGATTTAAATAAATTAGCAGCTATACCGAAATTTTTACCAATTCTTCGTTCATCAATTAATTTACAAAATGATCCAACACAAATACCACATCTTGAAAATGGACCGGTAAGAATAAATGATGATGTTTGACAAAATCATCGTAATAATTCGTTTATTGATTACAAATAGTCATTTGACATTTAAAAAGAATCGAATAAAACAGTATCATATATAAATCATAGAGCAAAAGTGAGCATACTGGCATAGTATCGATAAATACCTAGATGATAAACTTTGATATGTGTTTAAATACTTTATGATTAGAACTCGTTCACTAAGTAGACTTTCCTCGTAAACTAATCGGAGTTTTTAGAAAGTCCTAAACGATCGATTCATAGCTTCTAAAATAACATCGCTCATACTCGATTAGCTTCGTCGTAAAGAATGGGATTTAGAAGACTTATTCTTTAAATATAGGTCTATAATGTTCAAATACTTTGATTCCGTCTTTATTTTGAAAAAAAATTCATAACTACACATTAAAATTTCTTGAAATATGTTCAGTTTTTGAAGTTAGTATTCGCGATCAACTCGGTGAGTTCTATTCAATTTATGTAGAAATATTAAAGTTTAGACTTTTTTTTCTTCATTTAAAAGAATATATTATGATTAAATTCCGTTTTTTGTTTTAGCTTTTACAATTATCTATACGTTTACAAACTCATTTTCGTTTTTGTGCTGAAATTGTTCAAAATGAACAAACACAAATAATAAATCGAATGAAAGAAGTTGATACACGTTCCAATTCTGTACAACAACGTCTTACGGATAAACAAAAACGTTTTCATACATATTGTGAACAATCAAAAAAATTACGTGATGTTGCAACATCTTTAAAACGTCTTGATCAATCATTAACTGAATTAGCTGATCGAATGCGTGCAATTAATTTATATTTACCACCGGATGATCAATTACCAACATTGTCTTTTCGTAATAAATCGACAATGTCTTCTTGTTAATAGTCATTTTCTTTTTTATATTTCATTGTATTTCAGAAAAAACAATTTGTGTCAAATAAATATATAATATTGATTAATTTTCAGAAGGTCTGTTCCTTTTTATAATTTTAATACTTCGGGTGATCCAAAAGTAGTGGCAGTGACACTTTTATATCATAGAGTATGCTTTAAGAAACGTTCTCTCTATAGAGCTTGATAGAGAAAAAAATTCTGTTTTTCTATCATATTTGATGGTTATAGTAATATTTATTCGATGGATATTTTTTGAATAACTTTTGACAGAAGCAAGATGGAGAGCTGCAGTTTTTATCGTTCGAAATACTAAATGAAGATACATCAAATCGTATATTTTAGGTTTGTTGATATGGCTTTTTTAAGGTTTTTTAATCGACCTTTTTGAAAACACATATATTCTGTCAGATGTTTATAGGGAATTCTTTATCATCAGGTAAGTATTGGAACTGTCAAGAGAAGATATACACAACTACAGAGGATTCGCATATTCTGAAATAATCATTTCGGAGTCATGGGTGTTACAATCAAAGCTTTAAATGACTTTTCTAAGAAATTCTGTTTCCTTTGCGTTAATAAACCATTTTTTTCACACTTCGAAAATTATTTAAACAAAACATAAGACAACGTAATAGGGAAACGTATAACGTATGACTTAATACATTTTAACTTCGTCTCTCGAACGATAAAAACTGCAGCTCTCCATCTTACTTTTATCAAAAGTTATTCAAAAAATATCCATTGAATAAGCACTAGTATAACCATTATATATGATAGAAAAATAGAGAATTTTTTTCTCTATCAAGCTCTATAGAGAGATAGTTTCTTAAAGCATACTCTATGATATAAAAGTGTCACTGCCACTACATTTGGATTGCCCTAAGTAATTGATCAATTAGTGATCAATGTTAAGAGCTTCCATGAGATGTTCATGACTCAAAATATAACATGAATTATAATTATAGTGGTGTGATCTTTCTCTGACATGTTACTCGAGCGAAGTCAAGGCTGTCATACTAAAGTGGAAGGAGTAGTAAAACAAACCCATGAGAGATATCATTATTTCTGGAACTCGAGTATCGAGATTTAAACAAACCAATATATCACTGAACAATGAGGATGTGGAGTAAATTTGGTATGAGAATATGGATACCTTCAATGGATACGATATCCTAGAATTGTGGCCACTGTTAGACTAGATCATATGCTTAATTCTGTGAAGACTGAGAAACATTTGTCAGCACACAATGTGGATGTGCACTCACTCACGGGTTTAGTCAAAGTGATAGTCAGGCATGCACTTGGGTATTCCGAGGGATTAGTATTGATAGATTCATTCAGAATCGTTGATGCAGTTTCTGGACACAAGTCTCGGCACTTAGATCTTGGCTTTGAATCCGACGATTACCCACAATGAGAAGTCATGATGAACCTGATACCCACACCTGTAACTGTGGCTATCTCGGTACATATACCAGAGAGTAGCAGGGTCTGGACCAGGAGAGGATCACTCACATCGAGACACAAAATTGGAAGTGCCTCCGCAGTCGAACCTCAGTTTGAGCAGTACTAATTCTAAGAATTAAATTGTATCCATCTCTACTATAAAGGATGCAACTGCCCAAAAATCTAATAGTTGCGATGCAGATGTCCGAGAATACAATGGTAGGCTGAACACCCCATTCATTCGCTATAGTCACTTCAGCAGTTTTTTCATGATTGAATGTTGGAATAAACTATCAAGTTTGATACTGACGTTCTTGCATATCACGCAAACTAGTTCGTTTGTGATGAGTGTCAATGTTGTGCCGTGTGTAGACCTGCCGGCAGAAGGGATTGAGATGCGCTTCCATACGTGTCTCCGTGCCTGTATATTGTACCCAATCAGTCAAGAGAAAAGGGAGCCACTGTGTGAATTGTCCTTTGTGCATGTTCTTTCGTGGCTTTTCCACCACATAATATGCCCTATACAGTGTCTGTGTTTTCATTCTCCGGTGGCACCGACATGCTTACAACTACCGCCACATCCGAATTCCATTCTAAGATCGTGGCGAAAGGCAAGAATACGAATAAATTGGAGTTCTGACACTTCGGTATGTAAATAGATGGAAGAGGATACAGTCAAAAGTACTATAAAGTGATGCATTATGCGTCACATAGTTGCGTGCAATCCACTCAAAATTGTCACCTTACAAAAAAACGGTATGCATCTTTTGAGTGTTCATTGTCTTAAATCAAATTTATCACACAAACACTTTTTTTAGTGATACATCGGTTTGTTAAGGTCTCTATAATCGAGTTCTAGAAATAATGATATCTCTCATGGGTTTGTTTTACTATTCCCTCCACTTTAGTATGACAACCTTGACTTCGCTCGAGTAACATGTCAGAGAAAGATCACATCGTCATAATTATAACTCGTATTATATTTTGAGTCATGAATATCTCATGAAAGCGCTTAACATTGATTACCAGTTGATCAATTAATATAGAAAATAAAGCTCTCATCAATTACATATATCTCGCTATAGGTGTTGAAAACTAAATCAAACATCTTTCTTTTCATATATAGCAATAGTATTAGTTGATATTTTTGACATGCAGGCCCACCTTTTAAAATTTTTAGAAATGACTAATTTTGTAGAGCTTGAAAAGCTCTATCGAATGGTATATAAGAGAATGTTGGACAAGCTTTTTTTTATAACAACTCATGCATATAATTGTAATTCATATATGGTATATGTGTCCTAATGATACTCGAAATCTGATGAAAACACATCGAATTTAGCATCAAAATGGTCAGGAGGCTTTATTCTATTGGTTTATGTATCATTCAATTAATCTTAATAATGAAAAACAAAAGGGATCAGAATGCAATCTTACACGTCTGCGCCCTTTTCTTCATTAATTTAATTAGTTCAATTTAATTAAATTTTAAGAAAAGTTTTATTAATTTTAATTTAACATTCATACAGATTACAGTAAACATAATAACATTAATTAATGAAATTAATAAAAGAATTATACAATTGTAAAAGAAAATATACAATGATTAAATAGTGACGTTTCGACAAACGAAGTTGTCTTCATCAAACTTTCAGGTATGTGACAGTTTTATTTTAATTTTCTTTTTCTTTTTGATGCTAAACATATGATAGTGGGGCGGCAAGCTGCCGATATTGGTAGGATAGATAGATTATTTTTCTTCATCGATCCTACTATCACTGTCTTGCAATTCCATTCTATATAAGGCTGTTTTCGGTTTTATTCCAATTTTATGTTATATTTTCGATGATGTTTCATGCAACAGAGGGAGCCATAAATCGATGATATGATCACGGCGATTTATTGAATTATTAATTGTTGAATATATTGCTTATTTGATTCGCCGTTTTTTCCAACCAATCTCTTGATCGATACTAAATATTTTTGTTAAATCAATGTTACGTTCTTTGTTATTTTCATGGTGGTGGTGCTACATTTCTGATGATGATGTTTTAT